CTTGGCAAGCTGGGGAGCATGTCTTTGCCTCAGTGACAAGACGTCTCGAGAAGTGGAATCGGCCGAACACCGAGGAGCCCTTGGAGCCGCTTGACTCTGGACCAGTCTCAGTCGAGAACTCGATCCCGTGGCAGCTCGAGCTGCTTCAAAGGCGGGCCAACGGTTCTGCGATGTACCAAGTGGTCCCCTGGTTAGTGTATCCGTAGACAGGGTAGTCTCGAATCTTTTTCCAAGTTGAGTGACCGACGGCAAAAAGTAAGCTAAGGAGGGTAGGAGATTGGGAAGGGAAAGAGAGAGAGAGAGAGAAAAAAAGAGGGGACCAGTGGTTCGTAGCAGAGAGCAGGCGCAAAGCGATGACCAAAACCGAAAGACGAGATGTAAAACTTGCTGTAAGCGCATCCGCGGAGCGGGACCGACCAGAAGACGGCAACGGACTGGGGACCGATGCGTGAAGCTGCGGAAGGGGTGTGGCCACCCAGCCCACTTAGACCCCCACTGGGGGGATGGGCTGGGATCCATGACCATCGACCGGAGCATGGGATGGCAAGGAAAGTATGGAGAGCAAGGTGCCCAGCGTTGGGGCACACGAACATGAGTGGTGTATGTTCCATGTATGCAACAGCCCGTATGGCGTTGGAAGCTTCCATATCCAATTTCAAAGGGTCCTGTGTGGAGGAATAGAAGACGAAGCAAGCAATAGTCCGAGACGGAAGCGGATAACCACGACGCAGAACGCTCTGGGCGACCCCGCGGATCTTTTCAGAGTCCACTCGACCAAGCGGACGAGGCAATCCGAGGTTGCCCAAGGCCTGGCAAAGAGAGGGTCGGGCCCGGAAACGACATGCCGCTGCTGTTGAAGCAGCGGGCGGACGGGCAAGCAAGCTATAGCACTGCGTGCTCTGATAGCAGCATCAGATTGGTGAAAGGGGAAAAAAGACGTCAATAAACAAGAGAAGGGAAAAAAAAAAGAGTTAAAAATAATAATAATTACCAGAAGAACCGTCACCAGGAACCAGGTGCGGTCAACCCGAAAGGCGGGCGGGGCGCTCTAGCTCTACGTCACCAGGGTGAGCTAGCTTGGTGCAAACCGTACAGCAAGAAGCAGCAAAATCCGGGCCAGTGAGTAAGGCCCAGGCACACACTGACTTTGGCCCGCCCGACCACCCTGCATTGTGTTCTCGACAGTCGAGATCGCGCTGTGCTGTGCTGTGCTGTGCTGCGGTGCGGTGCGTTGGGAGCGGTCCCGCGACGGGACAGAGCCGGACATGTGTCGGTCTTGGCTGACATAGCTCGTGGCATTCCCACCCACCAACCTCTCACAGCCCAGCTGTCAGTCACCGGCCGACGGCTTGCTCGGCCTCGATCGACGACGAGTGAAGCACGAGGGTGAAGATACCTCCAGATTGAACCGTCACACTACGAACATGCGCATCTGCATTGAGAAACCCCTTTTTTTCCTACCCTTTTTCTTTCTTTCTTTCTTTCTTTTTCTTCCCTTCGCTATGCCCGCTCCAAGTCCAGGACACAGTTCAGGCTTACGGTCCTTCCTGGCCATATGCCATTGCCATTGCCATGTTATGCCGTAACAGAGTCAGGTAACTCCCTTCCTCTTTGGAGACCTTTTTTAGGAAACCCCACCCATCGTCTGCCCCCTCGTTACCTGGATCATCCAAGTTGCCGCCATGGCCATTTCCTTTCCCCAATTTCCCCCAAACACGTCTTTCCATGCCCTTTCCCCCCTCCTCCCCAGCCGAGGTCAACTGTCAACCATGAAAGGAAACCAAAGAGGCCAGGCGCTCCATGCCCTGCTGACTCGCCCCGCCAACTGCAGAGGCATCGAGCCCTTGCTAGGCGACCGTCTGCAGGAAGAACGGCCAGATGCTCTCTTTTACCCCCTCCCCAGAAAAAAAAAGGACATGAAGAAAAACCCACACATCGAACAAGGGCAAGACGAAGAAGAAGGCGACGACGGACGGGATCGTCGAACCAATGTCGTCTTGCCATTACCCGATCCACCCCGTTCCCCACAAGATGGCACCCGCTGCTAACCCTCCCTTGCACGCGGCGTTCCCCCCCCCCTCGTCTCTTTCCGAGCGAAGCTCCTTGGCGCGAGCTTAAAGAACCTGCGTCTCAGCAAAAACCCCAAAAAGCCGCCGAAACGAAACCTGCCAGATGGGCCAATCAGACGCCGCCAATGGAAAACGTGCCAGATCGATTGACTGCCGGCAAACCCGCTCTTCCGGCATGGTTGTCTTTTGCGGGAGGCGCATCGCCGTCGTTGCATGGGAGGCTTGCGCCGCTCGTTAGGCCGACGTCGCGACGTTGAAAATTTCAACCGCCAGAGAACAAATCGTACGGTAAATTGTCAGATATGCGGCACAACCCATGGCCTGCTCCCGCATGCCGAGCCGTCGCCAAGACTCTGGGCAATTTTCCGCCCTCCCTATGCTAGCCGCCTTCAAGAAACTGCTCGCGTGCCCGTTTTCCTCTTCCTCTGGCCGCTCTCACGACCCCCTCCCTCTCGCGACACTCGCCAAGCTGCCAAGCCCAAGCGATTTTCCCAAGCCACGCCCGCCACGCACATTGGCAAAGCTTCTTTGAACCCGTCCTCTTGCCTTGTCTCCCCTTCTCTCCGTGCTATGGTGGTAGTTCCCTCCCCCATAGCCAAAGGAGCCCTCGCAGCGTCAGCTCGCGGAATGACTCGGGCCGATAATATGACCAGAGAAAGAAACGAACAAGCATCCCCAAACGCGCAGTGCGAGCCATAACGGCTCTATACCATCAGGAATAATATAGGGACAAAGACCCTTTGCCCGTATTTAACATGGGATTGGGCCAGTGGGTGTTTGAACTGAAAGTTTTCGCTCTCTGCTCTCTATTCCCAACAACACCGCCGCCGTCTATATGCAACCCCCCCTCCCCTGCCCCTCCGTCGTCCCAAGGTCGAGGGATGACAAGACCACACCTCTTTCGTTCACCGAGCGATGCCCTCCCCCTAAAAAAGACACCGTCTAGAGATCAAGCGTTATGCGTCAAGCATCTCCGCCAAGCAAACTCAATAGGGGAAAGCAAGACCGAGAACGACTGCATGCAAACCACCCAACTCTGGGAATCCTAGTGGTGGTGGCATCGTCCAACTCCTTTCCACTTTGACTTTCCCCTTAAACGTCTCGCTCGCCTTGTCGCTGAACCCATGCCCGTGTGCGCGCCCACGACAACCTACCTGCTGTTTCCCAGCGACCCGGAAACCCAGCCCGGAGGACCTTAACCTTCTTTGCACATCACCACGTTCGCCCGCTGTTTATCCCCGGTCCAGGCATCATCCTTTTGCCTGGCACCCGAGAGGCGTGCGGCCATGTCGCGATGGCTCGGGCGCGTCCGCCACGACTGAACCGTGGCAGCGTCGCCTTGCCCTATCGTATCGTATCGTATCGTATCGCCCCTGCTGTAGAGAAGTCTAACCACCGCTGGGACCGTCCAGCCAAAGCCAGCCTTGCGCAAAAGGTGCATGGCACAGACATCGTACAGCAGAAGCCTTGCAGAAGATGACGAGTTGCCCACCCGCTTCCCCTCCTGTCCGTCGTCGTCCGCGGCCCATCGCCTCGCCTCCCAGTCTTCAGACGAAAAATCGACATGGCCCAAGCTGTCAACCCGCACTCAAATGCCACTTCCTTCCATCCCGTCAACAACCCCTCGCCACAGCGTCCATACCCTTCTTGCCTTCCACCCCCCGTGTGTGTGTTTGTCCGTCTAGTTGCCAGTTGCGGTCGGGCATCCGTCACCGCCAAGCCCAAGCAGTCAACGCAAGCTGGCAAGTCAAGCAGCTCACGTACCTCCCCCCCTCCACAGGTCCGAGGGCCATCTGGCTGGTGACCTGGCTCAGCCACACTGTTTAAACCTCGTCGTTGCCGTCATCGCTCGCCCGTTTGGCTCATCCGTAGCCTCGTGCTGCGCGCGGTCTCGACGTCTCGTAAACGGGACAGGCTGGGATCGAGACATCTCAAACATTGCCAAGAGACGCCTCCGTCACTGTACATCATCGCACCAGCAAGTCTTACCTTTCGTGACTAAACAAGCAGACAATACGTCAACATCGGACCTACTCGACCACAATGGCAACAACACCAACAACGGCAACGCAAAGGCATCGGGACCGCGGCTCAAGCCGCCCAAGTGCAATATGAGAATGATTGTATTCAGTCTTGTTTTCTAGGGCTTTTGTTCTTGAAACAGGCCGTGACTCCTCGGACTTTTGGCGGCCGCCTTTGTCAGACCGAGATACAAATGACCTAGACGCAAAAACTCGACCCAGAAGAAGCCCCTGCTTTTGCTCGGCGCAATGGTGCTGATTCCAGATGCTTGACAACCAAGCTGTATCCGCCCAGTGTGCATCTTCTGTACCAGAGGCTGAGTTGCTGCAACTCGGCCCCGCCGCGCCAGGAACCCTGATCCTGCCTATCCCCTTTTCATGACCCAGATGCAGTTTGTAGGAGAGGACCTAAATTGTGTAGACACGAACAAAATGAAAAAAAAAGGAAAAAGAGAAGAAAGGTTCCAGAGTGGTGGTGGTGGTGATGGAGTACGCGGTGATCGCCAAAGAGAAAAAAAGAATATTCTGCGCAGAAGAATGAAAGTCAGCATGCAAGGCAACGCAACATCCTCGCATCTGCCCTGCGTCGCAAATGTAACAACAACTGAAGTAGAAGCCCTCCCATCATTTGATTCCACACCTTTCCCCAGAGGGCCTCCGGTCCGAACCGTATCAGTCGAACCTGTAAACGCCAAAGCCTTTCGAAACTGTGACAAACTCAAGGAAATGATGCAGTCTGCGTGTCGCTGTTGTCCCCAATAAACGCCTCGCTGTCGGGAAAACGACTGAATAAGAAAGAAAAGGAAAAAAAGAAATCAAAGATCATATTGTTAGAAACGCCCCAGTCATCGTGGGCTTCGGTGGCGGTTAAGTCTGTATAATCCCCTTCGTCGCAGTGTGTGATTTCGTTCTACTGGTTCCCCAACAGCCCAGACCTCTCCAAGGGCCGCGGTGTCGGTTCCTCATCTACAACGTCTTCTCGGTTCGTTGGCTGCGGTCTCGGCGTCTCGTCGACATCAGAGAAAAGAGTCTTGTCTTCTGAGCTGACACCGCTATCCGGGGGCGTTCGCGCGGCTGCATTCTGTAGCGTCTCGTACGAAGGCATGTCCATTTCCTTAGAGGGTGTCACAACTTGAGTGATGGGTTCCGGAGTGCTTTCTGATCCTATCGTGACACTGTCGTGGCTATCGGCCCTCATCATCTCGATTCCCAGCTTCGAACTAGGCAATAGCGGCTTGCCTCTGAACAGCTTGTCTCGGCTGAGACCGAGCTCTTCGTCCTCGTCGTCGGCCGAGTCTGTGCCCTCGGCGAGGCGTTTCTCGATGTGCTCTTTTCTCGCTTTCAGCTTCTCCACAGAGTGCTGCGGCGCTGACCTTCGGGGGTGCTCCAGCTGTCCCGGCGCGGACTGCTGCGTGACAAGGTGGGGCAGTGACTTGGGCGAGTTGATCGGGTGCACGATTTCATCCTGGCTGATGCCCAGCCCGCTTTCGTCCCAGTCGCCAGTAGCCTTCCGGCTGATGACCACTGGCACGTCGTCAGTTGACACCGACTCAGAGTCTCCGAAAAGGCTCGAGCTGATGGAGTCCTCTCTGCTCGAAGTTATCAAACTGCTGCCCGGTCGTCCAGCGTACATGGACGAACTCGAAGTTGGGCTGTCGTCTGCTCGCGAACTAGTCTGACGAAGACCGGATGGACCGGGCTGAGACTGTCCCAGGGACATCGAGTAATTGACGCCGGGCGACTCTGGCTTCCACTGACAGAGGTTCTTGAGGACCTCGGTCAACTTAGAACTCGAGATCGGCTTCTCAATCAGGGAGTCAAAGTAGTGCGGTGCTTGGAGCTCCTTAAGATAGGCTGTGATGGCGACAATGGGCGTATGAGAGTTCGTGTTCTTAGTCTCCCGAATCATCCGAGCCACATCGGCGCCGTTGATCTGAGGTAACCTATACTCCAAGAAGATGATGTCGAACTTGATCTCGCTCATAGCATATCTCACGGCCTCGGATCCGTTGGCCACTGAAATCGTCCGACAACGCAGCTTCTCGAGCAGTTTCTCCATGACCATACGAGAAACCGGATGGTCCTCACAGATCAGAACGTCCAATGGCCGGAACATCGGACCGCCATCAAACGCGATTTGAGAGAGGCGGCGGGAGCTCTGGCGGCGGCGCTGCACTCGAAGAAGCGCATTGTGCTTGTCGCCCTCGTTATCAGATGATGAAGGGGACATGTCGAATACCTGGCTGCGACGATTGCGGTGGTGTGAGAGCACATCTGAGGCGATGGGACTGCCTTCTTGGGATTGCGAACCCACAGTCAAGGATCTTGATCGACTGCTCGATGCCTGTCTGGGTGTCGATACCATTTTTTGAGGCGATAGTGCCAACGGTGGCGGGGGTCCCGAGCCACGGCCCTTAACTGGAGAAGCAGCTGCACTCGTTGCTGCCTTCTGCAAGCTAGGTGGAACTCGCGGTATATCGAGAGTCGTAGGCTGGTGGGACACGCTGGATTGTTGCGAGAGACTCGAGGAGTTGCTGGATGCCTTTCGTCTTCCTTCGCTGCCTTGGCCAGCAACAAACGAGACAAGCAAGGGCGATGATGGCTGAGATGCCCTGCTAGGGGACGAGTTGGCGTGGCTCAAACCAGAAGGTGACTGTGGTCGGTTCTTCGCACTCGAAATCGTGCGCTGGACCGGGTTGGATAACACAGGGCTACCCTCAAGTACAGGGCCAGGTGAAGTGACACTGCCGCCGGGGCTGATGACGGTCGGTTTGCTTTGTGACGCCAATGCCTCTGCCCGAAGTTTTTGGATAACGTCCTTGTTGGCCTTCTCCAGCACTGGAAGGTTCTTGAAGGCAAAGCTGCCGAAATCATCCGCAACGACGGGCTCGCTAAGCCGCCTGCTCTTCAAGTCTCTGACATGTGGAGGGATGTGAAGAGGCATCAAGTTGCGCTTGATCGAGTTAACCTGGGACCGGACACGGGACAGCGCATCGTGCGGTCGATCGTGGTAGTCGGAGCCTGTACCAGAGACAGGCGGCGACAACTGATCCTCCATCTCTTCGGCAAAAGACTGCAGGACGGCTCCGCGAGCATCGAAGTATTCCGTGTCTTCAGGATGCTCAAGTTGCGGCACGAACTGCGCTTCGTCCTGGAGTAAAGTCTCCCAGTTGATTCCCTCGAACCAGGGGTGACTGCGGATCTCGTCGCCGCCACAGGGGAACTTGTCCTCTCGGTTGGCTCCCAGTCGTGACTGGGGTTCCATGCAGAGCAGCTTGTTGATGAGATCCTTTGCCTCGTCGGAAATGGGCTCGCACTCGTTCTCTTCGGGCCACTGGATCTTGCGTGCCAGGATGTTCTCAAAGACTTCTTCGGCTTCGCCAGCATGGAAAGGTGGGAACCCGTAGAGGAACTCAAACATAATACAACCAACGGACCACCAATCGCTGGTCTCGTCCTGCTTTTCGCCCTTGATTGTCTCGGGGGCCAAGTAGTCGGGTGTTCCAACGAAACGGCGATTGGTGTCTTCCGGATCGAACAGAGCCATCGGAGGCGGCATCATTGACGACTGGGGAGGTGTGCTCTTGCCCAGGAAGTCAACGCTAGAGTGAGTGCTGGCGTGATGGAGAGCTGCCATGTCTGGCGAGGCCTGGCCATTGCTGTCGCTTGCGTCTTCCGGGGCCGGCTGCGAGCTTTGGGCTGGCGGAGTGTGCTCTTGGTCGTTCAATGAAAAGCTGTTGAGCATGCGCGCGAGAGTTTCACTGCCACCGCTATCGCTACGGTGACTAGAGACACGTCGGGCGTCTGGACCTCCCAAAGCGAAGTACGAGGGCTGTCCACCACTAGAGCCAGTGTCGGGGGTCATCTGTGGCGTCATGCTGGGCGAGTGGGCATGGCCGTGAAGATCCAGCGAGGTGGAGCGGGATGATGCCAACGAGGATGAGCGGGCGAATGGGCCCTGCTTGAGGAGATCGGGCGTGGGATCCGAGTTTTGGCTGTTGAGCGCTCGCTTTTGTCGTCCGACCAAACCCATGCGTGACAAGCCGAAATCGGTAAGCTTCAAGTGGCCCTTCTGATCGATAAGCAAGTTATCCGGCTTCAGGTCGCGATGGATGATGCCCCGGCTATGAAGATGTTCCACGCCAAGAACTACTTCACCCAGATATTTCTTTACCCAGTCTTCCGGAAGACCGCCGAGTACTTTGATGAGAGATGCACAGTCGCCTCCATTAAGATATTCCATGACAAGATAAAGGTAATCCTTGCTGGAGAAGGTCCAGTAGAGCTTGGCGACGAACTCGCTCTGGCCTTGCCACATCATGATGGCACGTTCAGCCTTGACATTGCCGACTTGATTCTTGGCAACCATGTCCGCCTTCTTCAGCACCTTGATGGCGAAATACTCCCCTGTCGATTTCTTTTTCGACAGGTAAACACTGCCAAAAGCTCCCTTGCTGATCGGCTTGATGATCTCAAAATCCTTGATGGAAGGAGGCGCTGGTCGTGCTTGTGGCGGGGGCTGGTGGGCTGTCATTCTCGGGGACGGAGGCCCCTTCATCACAAACTCGGACATCGCGGTTGAGGACTGTCGGCGGTGGTGACTCGCCGGCAGATGAGCTGGAGAGCTGAAGTCGCTTCCGGGTAGCAGCGGCGATGCTTCCGGGGACGTGATGCCATCTTGAGGGAATGGAAAGTTGCGCGGCTTGAGGATGCGGAGTGGAGATGACGGCTGATTAAGGCGCGAAGGCGATTCCTGCCTTCGGGGCGAAGAGGCACCGGGCAGGATAATGCTCCTGCGATGATGTTGTCTGGAGCTGGCTGCTCGGCGGAGATCTCCGAACTCGGATATAGGGGAATCGGTACGAGGTGGCTGCCGCGAGGTCACGGAAGAGGAGCGGATACTTCCATCGCTGTCTCCATTGTCACTCTCAAAGAGCAACGATTCTCGCCTGGACTCACGGGCAGGCGCAGTTGGGTTGATGCTTCCCAAGTTGGATCTCGGCGTCGGGCACTCTCTAGGGCTGCTCGACCGCGCCGATTCGACAATAGAGGTCGGCCGGGCTCTGTCTGTGGTGTCGTTGAGGTTGACATTTTGTAGCGCAACCGCAAGGGCCGAAGGGTTTTCAAAAGAACCCTGAAAGAAGAGTTCCTCTTGCGCGGGCGTGGCCCCCTCGTCTTCCTCCTCCTCGGTGGAGTCGCTAAGGCGTCCCGCTGCAATCCGAGCTGCTTTGCGCATGGCTTCATCGATGCAGTCCTGAACAATGACGGCGAATTCGATCCTGATGCGCTCGGCATACTCGATGATCTTGCGGTGTCTAAAGACTGCTTCCACCTTCGCCTTGGCGGCTGTTTCGGTGTCGGCGCATAGCAGAGCAAGGCCCTGCTCCTGTTCCAACGTGTTAGTGCTTGGTGACTGCCATTGCATAACCTGTGAGATGCGCGACTCGGACTGGGGAGATTGTGTCCTGATCTCGCCAGGGTTCTGAGAAGAAGCCTCCTTCACAGCCGGAGTGCTGATCTCAATCGCCGTATCGCAGAGATCGAGGAGCAACTCCACAATCCTCGCCTGGGGCCGTCTGATAGCAAAAGAACGAGCTCGTGAATGTCCAAAACCACCTGACCTTTCCCGAGACTGTGATACCGAACTTCCGGGAGATGATTGGGCCGATAGGGGAGGGCCAATCGGCAGACCCTTGTACTCGGCAGCTGGGCCGGAGAGCTGATCGCCTGCCAGAGGCCGGCTTTTTCTTGCTTCGAGAGCGTCGAGGACCTTGACAATGCAGTGTCGGTGATCGGTTAGGCTGTCTTGTGCCATCTGCACGTCCATTTCCGCCCTGTGCTCTTGTAGACACAAGTCGGTGTGTTTCTCGAACCACCAAGGTGAGATTTGACGCTCGCAAATTCGGCACAAGACTGGCAGTGGCGGAGGGTGGTTTTCGGGATCATCAACACCGGACTCGGCCAGCTGTGTAAGGTAACTCGCAAGGACTTCGGCGCCAGACCCAAGCGAATCAACTATGACAGCGGGAAGGTCGATCTTGATCTCTCTAGGCGCGATATAGGGCCGGATCATCCACATAGTCTGGTGCATCCAGCAGTTAGCAAGCGGACAGAGTGATCAAGAGCGATATTTGCACTTACGTGACTCTCTCCTCCCGAGACGCCGTCATAGACCATGATGCCTTGGGCTTCCAGGTCGATAGCGTCGGGAACGGGCTCCTCGGTCTCATTGAGCTCCTGATCCTGGAGATTGTCGATGGGCAACAATCTGGACAAGGGGCCCATTGCTACTGCGAAGCGAACCCTCTGGCTCCGGGAGTCGTCTGACTTCATCGATTCTACTGTATCCGCGAACACCGTCTTGTTGTCGCTGACAATCAAATCGGCCATGGCGGTCCCTTTGACAGAATCGGGCTGAGTGCCAATCACATCGGCCCATGACGGGCTGACCCAACGGATGGTGCCGTCGAGGTTGAGGTCAAGAATGACATTCAAGGTCTGCTCGGCAGCCTCGCGCAATTCCTCTCTTTCTTCTCGGATATCCTCGCTCAGGGATCGCTCCATGACGCCGGCCTGTGACCGGAGGGCGGTCACGGCCGGGGGCGCCAGCATGTTGGGTTGCGGTGGTTCCATTGTGGGAGAGAGGCGGGTGAAATCCCCGATTGTGACGATACCATTGGCCGACGTGGTTCGTCTCGGCGAGCGAGGACTGACTGAATGGCGTTTATTCGAGTTCGCACGCAAAGATGTTGTGGCTTCTGCAAGTCGCGAATTGGTTCAACTCGGGCGAAACCGAGCGAGAGCCAGGTTGTCTGGCAAAGGGCCAAGACTACAGGCAAGCCAGACCACCAGACATGACGGGTACCGAAATGGACAGTCTCGAAGCGCGAAGGGCAAGTGAGAGAGCCCCTGATAACCAACCACAAGGCGCGCTGCCCACTTTGCTGCAGAGGTATAGGAGAAGACTTCGAAGGTGTTCGGCAGCGAACGGACGAGCAGCGGTTGAATCGGAAAAAAAGCTCAGGGCTCGGAGAGGCGGCACACTCGACGTGACAGGAAAGGACGTGATCGAGTACGGGTAGTGGTGCCGACTGGCCGACCTGACTGCTTCAGTGCCTAGTAGTCGAAGAGGGGACGTGGAAGGAATGAGTCGACGATAGGGGAGGGCGAAGACGGACGCGAGGATCAGCGTGGTCGTCTGGGACAGGAGTTCGCAGTTCGGTGGTCGATGGCCGTCCTGGACCTTGTGTATTGTCGTCGTCAAACAAAACACGGTGATCACAGAGAGGAAGAAAAAAAAAAGCCAAGGGAACAGCACAGGCAAAGTTCACGCCGCAGGGTGGCCCTTTGTGATGATGGTGTCAGTCGCGCATTACCGTCCTTGCTCTCTGCCTCTGCGTTAGCACTTAGCACCTCAGCTATTAAGACACAGTACGGTACTCTGTACTCGGTGTACAGAGGAATAGTCGTCGACAGCAGCCCAGAGCATCCACGGTTTAGCAGTGGTCGCGTCCTAATTATGGGGCCTTCAGCACATTTGAGTGGTCGGGGTGGGCGGATTAAGCGGGGAATGGTTCCGTCTGACCAATCATGCAGGGATATTCCGGGGGGCGACCCAGTAGATGTACATGCATGACACGCCAAATCTGCGTGCAGCGCAGGGTACCTATACTCAAAGCAGCCTAGGGTCTTTTTGGAGTTAGCTTGCTCGCTAAAACACGAGCGAGGAGTCTGGGAGTCGGATGTGACTTTTTTGGTTTTTTGGGGGGGAAGGGGAAGATGGAGCAGCAGCCCGCGGGCAACAGCAGCATTCGCAGTCGCAGTTGCAGTCGCGGCCAAGAGGGGATGAGCCAAAAAGGAGAGGGCGGAGACGACTCCTGAGCACCCAGTCGCATCCAGGGCAGCACCAGGTTCCTGAGCACCTCAAAACTTGGACGAGATGGGACGGACACTGGCTACCTCGCCCTCTCCCCCCCTGTGAGGGGCCACTCGGGAGCACTTGATCACGCTTTGCTGAGGGGGCCGCCGTTTGCTTGGGGGACCTGGGGGCTGCTGGGCAGTTGGGGGCCACTCGGAGGTTTTGTCCGCTGGAAACAAATCAGACCGCCCAAAGTCCAGCCAAAGTTGTCAAGCCACCACAGCTTCGCTTGGTCCCCTTTCTGGCATCGAGACTCCTTTTTTTCGCATGTTATTTCCTGTCCATCCCGCCGTGCGGCGCGCCTCCCAGGATGGTGTTTTTCAAAATAGACATCCGCATCGCCGCTTACAAACCGACTCTCACAGGAGCCCAACTCTTCGTATTTACCTAAGTTTTCAGGCAAACATGGATGTTGGGTGCAAGAGCCATTGGAGAGGTCAAAGAGAGAGAGAAAGCGAGGTTGGAGGGCACGGAGGGCAAGAGGCAAGCCAGGAAACAACAACCACAACAACCTGGAAAAAGGAAAGAGGTCCTCGCTCCCCAAGGAACCGGAAAGAGATCAACAACGGCCACGCAAGAAGCACAATCATGCATTGAGACCATCTCCCTCCATCAACCTACAGGTACCACCCTCATCGTCTTATCCAGGGTCCTATCTTTTCTGCCTGTTCTCTCTCTTTCTCTCCCTCTCTTTCTTCCTCTCCACCTTTCTCTCTCCACTCTCACACTCGCACCACCCACCCCCCTTCCGTCTCAGACCAATAACGGACACAACGGGCACTCCAACGCATTCGTCTCTTCGGTGCTTCGTCTTTTGCCTTTACATCTGACGCATGATACACACGCCGCACACCATCCTCAATCCAATGCCGTAGTGTTTGTCGCCCGCCACACAAGGGAGAGCAGCAGAAACAACACCCCCAAAGTTTCACGCCGCGGCCACATGGGAAACTTTGCTCCTTGGCCTCCCTGGCGCTAGTCCAACATGCCTGTTACCTGTAAAATGCCATCCATGCTCGCCACGGGCTCAGAGATTCACAGACCAACCGAGTCCTCTTCTTCAGGGTCCAAATGCCAAATGCCATCCTGCAAACACGGCTATCCCACCTTTGGTATCACACCTCTCAACGCAGCTTGCGGAGGCTGTAGCAGAGGCCACATTCCCGTCCCCATAGTAGTAAGGCGACAGACGCTTCACCAAAATGCAAGTTTCTCCCCCACAGGAAGACTAGCCCACCAGACGACAAAGAAGGACATTGACAGCTCCTAGGCTATCGACGGTTGATCACTTTCCTGGCATCAACCAACCTGGCCCACGTTTGCATTTTCTAGTCGCCGCCAGGTGGCCTACCTGAGGATGAGCCGGGGCAGCATGTTGAGGCGCTGCATGCCAGCCCCAGGGACTAGCTAACATGCGTACTAGGAAATACTTGCATTGGGCCTTCCCGTCCCAGCCCATGCCATCGTCGTAAGACACCATCAGCTGGTCTCCTCATTCTTCTGCAGACAGGGGACCTCTTGTCGACACCCACCATTCTCGCCGCAACACAGCCTATGTGACCTTGCTTTTGTCCTATCGTGCCACAGAACGGCCTTTTCGTACACACTGCTCAAAATATACCGTCACATCCGCGGCACAACGGCACCTTTCCTTCTGGACTCGTCCAAGAAGCCAGAAAAGTCCCCGCAGTGGGCTATGCGTTCAGTCAATGTTCGCAGCCCGCGGTCTGCTGCTCGTTGGATCACCGCCACCCATGTCCAACTTGTCAACCCCCCTCCTTTGTCTCGGGGAGCTGCGGATTACTGTGAGGGACAGACAGATCGTCGATGGGTCATCCCAGATGAATCCCTTCGAGAATGCAAACGATTTGGCTCAAGCGGCCCTTTAGCACTGCGTTGATCTGCATTGGGCCTCCTTAGTCTGGGTGTGTCTCAGTTTTTACACACAAGTGGCAGAGATATTGGAGGCACATCCTACATGCTACCGATGGTATAATCGACTGGCGGACTGGTCCCGACAGAGCCGGGTTGAGCGGGGGGTTCCACAGGTATCTTCGGAACGTCGATTATCAACCAAGACACGCGCCCCAGACCCGAGTCTGATCAGCCCTTGGAACAGCATGGGCTTTGTATCTGCAACTCACTTGACGTCTCTCCGACTCGAAAACAAGGAGGGCGACCAGACGCACAGCCGGTGCTTTCACTGCAATGCTACGCTCGCCCAGCTAACGTCAAACGGCGTTGCAGAGCCTCGTGAGAATTGCATCGTGCTGTTAAACGAAACTTGACATTGGCTATGCCGTTCTTTCAACTTTTCGTCGACCTTGAAAGGTGAACGGGACCCGCAAGGCCAATTGAAGAGTGCGTTGTCCGGCTGCCAGTCAGCTTGTCCACACATACATACACCACGTACCACACACACAAGATCTTGGATGCATTACCTCATGGCTAATATCACCACAGGGCAGCAATTTAGCTAACCTCCCACGCAACTTTTTATGTAACGTGCTCCGGCCTGCAGCTGCATCATCGCCTGCATCTGTTCACCGGTACTCTCTGCCTACCTTGCCCAAGGCTTTGCATTGAGACCAAGGGCATCTTCTCACGTAAACGCAAGTCATCAACCCTAGCGCAGGCGGGCAAAGATGTAGATGGTTCGTAGTACCGCGAGAAAACGTAGCTGGCTGTCAGCGACTCACTTGTGCCGCCATTCGATGCCTAGGATGTCATGGAACGGCATGTGAGTTGTCAGCGGAGCAAAGGGGGGTAAGAAAAACGTGCTCCACACGCCGTTCCGGACAGTGGCCCACACGAGAGACACTGAATCGAGACAGGCTGGAGCTGGAGCTAGCCAAAGCACGCTTGAAGGCGTCGAGAACCGTTTCGACTGTTCCTATTACGTCCTCGCAACGATACCACAGCAGCCGCTGGCACCACCATCTCACGATGTCTAGGTGAGGTGATAAACCCATCTGTCATGACAGCCCACCGCCACGCCGCGCCATACGGGCCCTCATTCACATACGGTTGCTCTCGTGCATCCCACTCAGATGCCGTACAATTGTAACGGATGAGATCGACTCCAAGTTCCCCCAAACGCCCGCGCCAAGAATACCGCCCGCATGATGTCGCCAACCCCATCATCCCTGACCAAAGTATCCAATCGGCGGCGGAGTGGTGGAGGGATCTCACGCACAAATAAGTGATACCTACTTACAAGTGTATTCCCAAGCACTGAATCACTTCGGTTTCTCAACGAGGAGTGGGCAGTGTGAGCACTGAACACGGTGCTGTAGCTCTACACCCTCATTCCCCTGCCGACTTTCTCTCTTTCTTTCCCTTTTTCCCTGCATTGTCGACCCTGTCTTACCGTTTGACCGACTGGCTTTCGTCTCTTGTTCCAACTGCTCTTCAGTCCTACCCAGCCCGTCTGAGCCGTTTCGTCATCCCGATCACCCCTGCCCCTCAAACATGCCTCGTTCTCCCAAAACGCTGGCTTCCCGAACGCCCCCTTGCCTTTTGAAGCAGTCGTTAATCAATCTATGACAACATTGGTCGGCAGCAGCCCTCACCAACACCGCAGACGAGGTGACGGTGCCTTGAAGCTGTTTATACACTGTGCACACACGAGCTGCTCCATTCGAGGAACGTGGTTTGGCCAATCGAGCCTCCAGTCTTGTTGTTTTACTGATCACTCTTTTGGCTCTCCGGTCGGCAAAATGCACAAATCTCGGTGACGATTGATCGGAACGTATTACCGAAGATGATCGATGCCAACCCGACTGCGTCGGACGCTTATGGCAAACTGTTCGTCCCAAGCACAGACGCCCTCTTGCACAATACTCTCGAAACTCAGCGGGTGTCGAGTCTCGCGAGAGCTCGCGAGTGGACTGCCGGTAATGCATGCTCGTTGAGACATTCCACGACCTGTCATCCTAACCAAGCATGCCAGAAGCTCTGACTCTAAAAGATGTCTGTCGGACTTGGCCCCCTCTTTGCCGCAACCCCAGACAACCTTAACGACTCATGCGACTGCATATCTGTCTCTGAAGTCGGAGCAGTCGTCATGTCGGCGGTTGGGAAGTCTCTACCCCAGATCCATCCTTGGCCTCGTCCTGTGCCACAGACCAAGTCTGCCTTTCTTGCCGCCTCCAGGGATGTTATGTCCATGGATCTCCAAGTCAGCTGGCCGAACACACGGCCTTGATTTCCCAAATCTCTAGGATTGTCTGCTGCTCGATGTCGATTCGTCCCCCCCTCACACCTCCAGCTGGGCGATTTGATCTATTCCGGACAGCGGATGACATAGGAGCTAGGACGAACTAATGTCTTTTCCCGCGGGGTTATGATCTTCACAAACATGATATGGTTAGTAACTTTCTTCCGGATCTACAGAGGCGGTCAGAAGTTTGATCGGCGACCAAAGAATGTTTACTGGAATAGACCTTAGCGGCTGACCCGCGACTTGGGGGAGGGGGGAGGGGGGCGGCACAGAGTTCATCGTTCCAAGCCTGTCGTTGCGGTAATTGACTTTGCGAATAATAGCTGCGCACCCAAGAGAGTTAAAGGCTATGCAAAGAAGAGTTTGGGCCCTGATGTCGGTTCCGGTTTTGTAGTCGAATCGTCAATATGCAATCACTTCAGGCTGCGGGGCACAAAGAACGTTAGCAAAGTCATTCGAGGTTACAGAGTTCTGCTATAAGAGTTCTTTGCCGACGGCTCGTCCCCAAACCTTGGGGGCGGCAGGAGTTCCCACCGAGTCTTCCGTCACATACTCTCAAACTTTCCGCGGGAGCAGACGCGCCAGCCCAATTCCAAGATATGCTAAGGTTCCGCGTGTGTCTCAAAGCCGAGGGTTGCGTGATACCTTAGCATCCTTGGGTCTAGGAGGTCTCAACAAGACTGCCGCGAGCGAGATGGGGTCGTTATCAGGAATGGGCACTTAGGAGTGGCTGAGAACTTCTTGTCCCAATACACGTCTGGAGAAGGCTGCCCCGTCATGTCAGTCTTAACATGTGCCACTGAGAGGTAAGTCGATGACGCCAGATGGGGTCGCTCAGTACTTCCTAGTGGCTTGCTGCTACTTGTAGCTGTAATACGCGTTATGCGCACCTCAGTGTACTGGCGGATACCATGACTTTGACGAGAACTGTAGTCTAATGTAGGATGGCTGCTCAGCTCTGTCTTCGGTGGACCCCGAGAGGAATTGAGGGGTGATGCGCCATTGATTTACATTTTGGAGTAGTCCGGCAGGTTGTAGATGAGTGAGTGTGTAAGCAAACTTTGAATGGCCAGTCGCCTATCACAGTGCCAGTCGCCCCTGAAAGCAAAATAAGGTACAAGAGAAAAGAAAAACGAGCAGAAGACAGAGTTGAGGATTGTAACCATGTGCATGCTGGTGTCTGATACTCTCCTACCTTGATTTCAGGACGTGATGCACAATCGCGGGACACTGGATAAGGTAGTGGTTGATCGCGGTTGATCGCGGTTCAGAGGAAGACTAATGAGCATCGACCATGGTACCCCAGAAAAGTCGAAAAATCGAGAAACCTCAGCAAGCGAGCCAAGCGAGCTCAGCCGTTTGCTACTTATTACATAAGCGCGTCTGTCCCCTTTTCCGGAGCGACAACGAAAAAGAACAATAAGAATACTCCAAGATTCGCCGAGCCCACACCTCTCACGGCACCAACCATGTCGCCCGGCACCGAAACACCATTGGCGGCGGCGGCGGCGGCCGGGGTCACGGTCGTCGATACTACCCAATCAGCAACGGCCCCAAACACAACGGTCTTGCAGCCGCCTCCACCGTCTGCCTTGTCTATCCCGGAAGGCGTGACGGTGGTCTTTGCAGAGCGCAAGCGTACCGGCCGTATCGCTGGCGCGAAATACAAGGCCGACGGCACGCCTTACAAGCGCCCCGGCCCGCCGCCGAAGCCGCTGCACGAGAGGGCTGCGTACAAGCAGCGCGCGCCGGTGAAGCGGATGGAGCGGTCGTACACGGACCAACGGAGAAGAGAGGTGATTATGTTCTTGGAAAACCACAAGATTGCATGCGACGAGAACGACGTGCGGGCGCGAAGGACATGGAACGGCGGGCGCGAGGACCAGCAGCCGCCTGCGGAGAAGGGGTACCGGTGGCCCACCCTCAGGGAGGCGTCGGAGTGGTTCAAGGTGCCCGAGAGGACGATTCACAGCTGGTGGAAGAGGAGGGACAAGATCTTTGGGAGGGTGCCGAGGAAGCTGACCAAGGTGGAGCAGAGGCGGCTGGCGGAGGAGGAGGAGAGGAGGAGGAGGGAGGACGGGGAGAGGCGGGCGTTGCTGGAGGCTATTGGGTGGCCGGCGGAGAGGCTCCCTTCCGGTCCTCCTGGTGCCCCTGGCGCCTCTGGTGGTGGTGGTGATGACGGGCAAGGAGAAGCGATGGGGAGCGCCGAAGGTCTTCCACGGCCAGGGGCTGACAGAGAAGGGACCCCCGAGGGTGCGCCGATGCAGAGGGAAAGGCAAAAAGAGCCTTTGAGCGTGGTGGGGATCTCGTCCTCGGGAGAGACGCCTGCCGCCGCAGAGTTGGCGGTTACCTCTGAGGGATTGATAGCCGGCAACACACCTCCCACGAGTAACCCCGCTGCCACTCCCAGGGCAGATTCAGGGGAGAAGTCTTTTGTATTGGCATCGGTGCCAGCGTCTCCTGGCCGGAACTCCCGTGTAGAGATAGCGGCCCCGACTGGCCAAGCTTGACAGGATGAAGCGGCCGTGTCGGTCGTGGCGGGAGATGCCGGGAAGCCCGCGGCCCGAGACTGTCTCCCATAATGACACAGAACGAGAGGATAGGAGAGAAGGGACACCCGCGGCCCGAGATGGGGAGAACGACGTTGGACGGTAGGCCAGGGAACGGGTTTCCCGGTGTTTGAACGCATGCGGTCGGTCAGCAGGAAGTTCATGATACAGAAAGGGGACATTGAGGATTCATGTAGAACAGTTGTAACAACAGTACATAACACCATGGAGCGTATGTGGCTCTCACCGAAGGGAGGGCAATGCTTCGACTATCCAACAGTGTCAGGTTCAGCATCGTCCACTGGCTATGTATGAACATCGTACAGAAGACGTGCATCGATAAGGTACGTCGATCTGCCGTCAGGTCCTCAATAGTCCTTTGGTCCTTGCAAGTGTGTTATGCAGTACCTGCTACTGTAAACACGCCCGTCAGAAAAAAAACTGCGTAGCATGGGCTGGCGCTCTAGCAGCATGTGAAGATTGCGACCCCTGCCCTTCTGCGATACGCCAGATAGTGCGGTTGTGATGTCGGAAATCAGCCTTGCGAGAGGCCATCACGCCCCTCCCCCTCCCGAAGTAGATAAACCACCCGCCCATATCAACAACAGATGGCTGAAATAAGCAACAATGGCACGCCTGCGTGCCTCGTCGCCGACCTCCCGGGGCGGCAGAAGCAGCAGCGCCCTGCGGTCGCTACGTGGCGGCGCATACGGCTGAGACGTGGGCATTTAGGAACCGGTTCCGTGGGGGCCATGGCGAGCAAAATGAGGCAGAGCAAGCGGTTCCACGCGTGGCTGCGGTGAACCATAGTTTCCTCCAGATTACGTGCAGATGACGGGCTCCCATCCAAGACAGATCCGGTCCAATGGCGTCTAAGCGAGGGTGGAGGCTCAAGACAGATGATGGGAGACGTCCCTCATCTCGGTAAATTACCGTTTCTTCTTTCTGCGTCTCATACCGAGCTTCGTCTGCCGATCCGTCGTCTGATAGCCGGCCGGCGAGACACTCGCCATTGGCATGCTTGATCTGCCGCCGATGCGATGCCATCGTCGGCCAATGCGATGGTTCACATCAAGGCAGGTAGATGCAGGATAGGAAGGTCGGTTCAGTGCTTAAGATGCAAAGTTGGCCATGAGCGAGTGCATTACACTGCGGCATTGTATTGTCTTGAGAAGAGTGGCCCAGGGTATACATGTTCCTTCATTAATTTCACCTTTTCGACAACAACGCCACCCGCCCTGTTGACAGTCATCACTGATCCACCAGAACCTCGCCCAAATTCACTCGCCGTTGAAGACCACAGACTAGGTTGTCTGGGACGAGAAGAAGTATCTCGGCCTCGCCCGGGTTCGCGCCGTATCTGGATCGGCTAACCTCATGCTATAGACGCCCATTCCGCCTTCTTGAGGTCCAGCCATTCTCCCTTCTCAACCCACAGGTTCTCGAGCCACTTTGCCAGCTTTTCATCATCCTGCGGCAGAGTCTCGAGGGGGAACCTGCGAACGTGGACGTGGAACTTGTACCCCAATCGAGAGCTTAGCCCAGGCACGCTCAGAGTGTCCCACATACTCGGCGCCGCCAGGAACTCGCTCCCCTCTGGTACGCAATCGTAACGTCGTACACGGCCTTGACATGCGGGGCCTTCCTCAGATGCTGCACCGTGGTGATGAACCCCTTCGTCCGGGGATACAGCAAGTGCTTGGGCTGCGGCCGGCCCGACTCCTTACACCACACGAGCGACTGCTCGTACTTCTTCTTGGTGAAGCGAGTGGCCTCGCTGAAGCTGATAAGCCCTGGCTTGTAGGTGAGTCCATGTCTGCGCCCGCTACGTAAGAGTCTGCCCGCGAGCGCACTTACAGGTCGGCCACTGCCTGTTCATGATGCCGGCAAACACCCTGTCGAGCTCGTGCCTGTCCTTTGCCCAGTTGCGGCTCACCATGGGCATCCCCATCGCCCACAAACCCCAGCCAAGGAATGGGACTATCCGTAATTGGATCTTGGCGAAGTAGCGACAGCGACCCAGCATCCCGGCCTTGATGGCCAGAGCCTGGATCATGTAGAAGTCGGCCCATCCGACATGGTTGGCGACCACGACCGCCGACTCACCGCGGGGGATCGCGTCGCCGGAAAAGGTGAGGTTCGCGCCGTTTAACCGCTCAAAAATGATCTGGATCCAGTACCACACCGTCTCGGCGATCCTCGAGGACGAGTTGTACACGAAGTCCGGAGCGAACCACTTCAGAGGCAGCTGGAGGGAGATGGCCGTATCGGCCAGCAGCAGCCAGAGCACCCAGGGCGCCAAGATGGCGACTCCCCGGAGGTGGGTGAGCACGTTGCCGTGGCCAGCCATGGCCGGTGTGTAGTCAGTACGGGAAACTCGAGTTTGGTCCGAAAGCGAGGCGACACGACTGAGTGGTCGTGCGAGGTGATCGCGCTCCCAAATTCTTGTTGCAGCTTGGCGACGATCCAAAAGAAAGCAAGAAAAAGCTGGACCGTCTGGTGAGCGAGCCGGAGCGCGGCAGAGCGATCTACAACCCGAGTTGGCCCTAGCCGGAGGAGTGTTTCGAAAGGGAGCCGCGTGCGCGAGCGAGACTCTGGCCAGCGGATCAAAGGGCAAGAAATGTTTGAAGCAGCGGGAGACAATCCGGGGTTCACTTGTCTCAGAGAGTTTACGTCCTACCGCTCGATCAATGATCAGATTACCGTCGTATTCCCCGTCGCCGAAGAAGAGAGGGTCAAAAGCCTTTGCAGATTGTGGACTAAAGATCTTTGCTCAAAGAATCGTAATCACTGCGACGGACACGAGAACGGGAGAGGAGGAGACCGCGGCGCTACAAGCGGCTGGTCTCGACTCGAACAAAGACGCCAGGCCCGCCCGATTTCCCATACGGGAAATAGTATGACGGCATGCATTTTTTTTTCCCGGACGATCCATCGTCGTCTTCCCAGGGGCCGACGAACGGCACGCGCTCAACTTAATAAGTGAGAACCGGTGCCCCTCATTGGGTTCAAGGACAAGGCAGGGATTCCTCGTTCAGCCTCTTCACGTGGGCCGTGTCTGGTCTGGAAGACCGGGCGCGATGCAGAGGGCTTGCAGCGAAGGATGCGGCAGGTTCTCGACGTGCGTCGAGCTGGTGGTTCACGGACTGGTGCACATGTGTCAAAAGCCTAGGCAGCGCGACCATAGCAACCAAGGACGGATATATAACAAGTGACTACTTGGAAATAGGACGCGATCTGCAGGTCCGGTTAAGGGACTCTTGGCTTTCCCAGGTCGTCCGATGTCGACACGGCCATTGGACCGAGGCTTGTGTGGATGGAAAACTGGGAGATGGGATTCGTGAAGGTTCGCTTCGCAAGATGGCCTGCACTGCAGCAGCTCGTGAACGCGCGGACGCAGCTTGGACCATTGGAAAAAGGGCTGGGCCGGCACAGACATGGGGTCGTCGTCTTGATACGGACGTATGGGATATTGGATTGTCGGCGAAAGAGCCTTGTGCATTCGAATCTGACAGTTCCAAGACGCGCAGTGTTGATAGGCAAACAAACAAGCAAACATGCCCGCAGGCCAACCCTGCCACTCAGGTTCCAGGCCGACCACCTCGGAGCTGGTCCCGGGACAGAGAGTCGGGCGGTGTTTGTGTGTTGATGCTGCGCCTGGAGCAGCAGGGTCGGGAGCTGGGAGCTGGGAGCATGAGACGCCGAATCAAGCAACTTAAGCCACGCGAATGCATTCCAGCAAGGGCCGGCAGGGGGCCTTGTGCTGCACCGAGAGGGCCTTGTCTCCAGTTTGCCCAGCTTGCTTGTTGTACGTGCTAGAGCCAAACTCAGCTAGGTAGAACAGGCCACCTCTTAATTACTCCCACCTGACTGGCCCGGTCTCGAACTAAAAAATTAAAAAAAAATTGATGCGAGACCTGCGAATGAGAACGAACCCCCTCCTCATCCATCTTAGCCTCCGTCTGAAGCTGGCGCAGCACCTTTCTCTCTCTCTCTTTCTCTTCGTTACGATGCTTTTGCGGGCAGAAGCTTCCTGTTGGCTGCTCGACAGGTGGACTTATCACCCTCCTGGATTGCCAACCAGGGCCGATCATGCCATCCCGTTGGAGCTGTGCATCCGGTCTCGTTCGAACAAGCTCGGGATGCTCAAAGCTTCTGGCCTTTGCTTGAATTCGACGCGTATGCCCTTCTCGGACCCGAAAGCCTAAGGAACTACCTACATCGCATCGGCCGCGGGCGGCTTTGGATAAGAGGCCAAGACTTTGCTGCGACATTCCCCGCTGTGCTGGACCTATTGACTGCTCTCTCTCTTCCTATCCCTCAGTGTGTACGACCTGACTTGTGCTTGACCACATGCGGATACACCGCATTGGACCTCACATAACAACCGCCAGCGGACGCAGAGTAGCAGGGAAAGGGAGGGTCCAGACCGACCTGGTCCGCCGCCCGTCGTCACCCACGGAACGCGCCTTTCCAGCCTCCCCGCCGCTGTCAGTGCCGGGTCCAACGTAGAATCCCAGTATTTGTCACCCTCGGGGGCGGCCCTCTCGGCTTCCATCGCCGCCAGCAGTCGCGCGTAGGCTAGTCGAAATAGCATAGCCCTACCCGGTGACGAACGCTCGAGGGCTTTTCGCCAATCTGGGTTTCTGGACCGCGTCCTTCTCACGTAAGGCAGACGGGCTTTGTAGAGAACTGGGGTCGAACGCCGATGACTCCGAAAAAGCAACAAAGTCGGAGTCTTGGTCGAGTCCTTTAGACCAACCCAACTCATCCCAACCCAACAACAACAAACCAGGGGCGCTGGACCCAGGCTTGACGTCGAGTAACCACTTCCGTTCCTGTCAAACGAAAGAAAACAAACACTTTTGGTGAGCGAGTCATCGAAGCACTCAACGTCGATCCGTGAACACCCACCACTCAGCCCTTTTCCTGCCGTGCTGTACTGGACCCCAAGGCCGGCTCTAATCCCGAGGAACGGACAGGCTGCCGCTGAAACCCCGCATATCCTCCCTCCCGTCAATCTTCCTGCGGCTCATCCAGACTCGAGACTCGAGTGACGGACTGGGTTACCCGCCCGTTCACGTTTTTTGCACTCGGCATCCGCCATCTTGTCTTAGAAAAAGGGCGGTGGCGTCCCTTCTCGTCATCTCGATCCGCGACAGTCATTAGCCAACACCACCACCACCGCCGCAGAACCGCACCACCACCCACTGGTGAAGTCAAGGGTAGTCAACGCCCCCGTCTCTTGTCTCTTGTCGCCTGCCTGCCTGCCTGGTGGTTTCTCCGCTCCGCCGTCATCCGTTCTCTGCTTATCGCCTCGAGGGTTTCCTGCTACCCTCCTCCAACCTTTTTTCCCCAAACCCCAAAGTTGGACGGACGGGCAGCATTTAGGGCAACCCGAGCCAAGGCCAGAAGACAGACACTGCAACCGTCCAACCCCGGACGCACGACATACTCCTTCGTCTGGACCGTGTCAAACAAATCTAAAACAGGGCGGACCAGACTGCCTTACCTACCCCGACCCTTCTCTACGGCAACCCGCGCGCCCTGCTCGTTGCCCCTCCCCTCTCGTCGCAACCGCATAGCCTCCTCAGACAGCTCGGACGCCAGGATTGGGTTTCAAATTCGGGAGCACCTTCTTCTCAAATAACCATAATCGCGGTTCGGCTATCCACCTGCATGATACAAGCCTTGCACGGCTCGACCCCTTTCCACTGCCGCATCCCTTTAGCTTTGACGGACGATAGTCGCCGTCATTCAGCATCACATTACCATACGAAGCTGGTGACCGCACATCGCGCAGCAGATCGTCCACGGTAAGCCCGCTAGCCCATCTGGTCCCTCTTTGGTTGTCGCTATGCCCTCGGGTCGAGACGTAATTCAAAAGTGCCCATCCCCGCCCCCCACCATCGCCTGGCACCACGCGCCTTTCACATGACGACGTTACGTTCGCAGCATTTCTCTCTCTCTGGAGCTTTCTCTCTTGTTTTGTGTGATGCCATTTCGACGACACAATGACTGACCTAGGCAACGTAGCAACTTACCTCACCCCGCCGAATCAGTCGTCGTCCCCGACACGCAAGCAATCGGTGAGCTCGCTACACGATAGGGCAGCGATGGCTTCCTCGTTGTCGCCCGACCAGTATGGAAAGCAGCCGTCGCAGGGACAGTATGGCGGCGGCGGCTCCGGCTCTGACCAGGAGAGGGGGCCTTTGAGCTCTCTGAATCTCGGCTTCCTCAAGTCCTTGACGGAAAAGAGGACCACGCGAGGTAAGGCGACAGCCACAGCTACACCGGCAGCTTGTAATCTAACACCAGCCATCCGTAGACGGCCAACCGCCCAAGAGAAGAGGACCAAAGCCCGACAGCAAGCCTGCTCTGACCCGGCGGCAGGAATTGAACCGCCAGGCGCAACGGTAAGCTGCAACGACCCGTGCTAGGGGCTTCAGCGACGCGGCGTCGCATGCTGACGACGGAATCCTGCAGCACGCACCGTGAAAGAAAAGAGCTGTACATCAAGGCTCTCGAAGACGAGGTGCTACGACTGAAGGAGATCTTCAGCAACATATCCCAAGACAAGGACAAGATAGCCGAGGAGAACCGGCAGCTCAAGCAGCTCCTTGTCCAGAACGGCATCCCGCTGTCCCACTACGGCGACGACATGGTCAGCAATCTTAGCGTGGGCTATACGTCCAGCGCCAGCCAGTCGGGCAACAGCTACGGCCAAAACGCCTACACGCCGCCCTTGACATCCACGACAGCGCCGTCGGTGTCGCCTTCGTCTCACGGTCCGTCTCACTCCCACTCACACGGTCCGCCCCTCCCCTTCCCCAGATGGGGAGCCAGCAGCTGCAGAACAGACAACAAGGACAGAGTTCTGGCAGAGGTGTGGACTTTGAGCAGGCGGGCATTGACTTCGTCTTAACGTACGATAACCACCACCCTCGAAGGCATACCTATCACCTCCCCCGCAGTGAAGAAGAAGAAGAAAAAAGAACTTGTCATAACCACCCAAGCCCTGGACACCATCGGGAGCTCGGGTGGGCGTGAGAGCGAAAGAAAAAAAAATCTGATGAACCGAAAAACGGAAAAAGAAGAACTTGCTGACGAGTGCGATTTTTATCGAGGGTATGCAACAGTCTCGAGAAACCCTGCATGAATCACATGCCATGGCTACTGGAGAGATCAAGCGAGATGGGCGGCGAGCCCTGCGGCCACGCGCTGATGGCCTCCTGCCCGCCGGCGCCCTTCCCGGAGCTGACGCCGGACATCCCGTTCGGGTACAGCAACGTCAACGGGGACCTGGACTCCCAGCAGAGGACGTGGGAAGTCAGCAAGGGCAGCCTCTCGGCCCTGCTCGACCTCAGCAAGAAGCTGAACCTCGACGGCGAGGTCACGCCCGTTATGGCCTGGGGCATGGTCCTGGGCCACCCCAGAGCCCACGAGCTGCGGGCCGAGGACTTCCAAAAGCTCACCGACGAGCTCAAGGACAAGGTCCGATGCTACGGGTATGTGTTGATCGTGCACCTGGGCGTGGGGGTTACACGTGCTAACTGGGCTTCAGCTTTGGCGCCGTCATGGAGGAGTTCGAGGTCAGGGATGCCTTGGAGAACGTCTTCTGCTCCGGGCCTGAGATGATGTCTTACACCTACTAAGGGTGCAACGTCTGATTATGAGGGGGATACGGCTTGTGTATATAGTGAGGTTCAGGGAACGTTTCTGCTTGTGCTTAGGCGGGGGACCATTGGGAGTATATTCAGGGAATACTTTTGATACCACGGCCGCAATGAGACTATAAAAACAAGGATCCAAAAGGCGAGAACGGTGACGAGAGTGAGGTGATCTCAATGCACCGATGGCACTTCCTCCAATCTCATGCGCCCGCCGCATTAGTGCGGCATGCAGTTCGCCGCCCAGAGCACATGGCTTTTTGTGTTTGGCAACCATGACCACCCACGACAACCACAGCCACAGCTGGCGGTGGCCCCGCGACGCGTGGAAACGAGTGGCTGTCAGACGCCGCCAGGTGCCGAAACACAACTCTCGAAATTTTGCCCGCTCTGCCCCACAAAGTTCACCCCACCAAATCCGAACGACGAAAATCAACGGCGAGAGAGGAGGCGCACTACACCAAATCCTTGACGACTTTTCCAATCTTTGCCTGAAGCCCGAAAGCGCTGCTGCACCCCCTCCCCTCCCGTCTTCTCCCCCAAACCCGAGAGACGCTCAGCAGACCCGATTTCGATTCGAAAGTCTTGAAATCTCTCCTTCCCCGCATCCGATCCGAAGGGAAAACACACATTCTCCAATATGGCTCAGGAAATCGACTGGGTCAAGCTCGTCGAGACTTGCCCGTCCGGCGATGGCTGGGGCCCGCCCGTCACCAGCGACACCACCCTGAATGGTGTCCCCTATGCGCCCTTCTCCAAGGGCGACAAGCTCGGTCGCATGGCCGACTGGACTTCCGAGGGCAAGGATAGGGAAGGCCGCGGCGGAAGACAGCAGTACAACCGCAACTACCGTGGTAAGTCTCGACACGAACCCTCCTCCCCGTCGACTCTGGGGATGAGAGAAAGAACATGGTCGCTAACCTCTACCGTCAACGAAATGAAGACCAACAAGTCTACGGTGCCGGCCACGCCATCTCCTTTAACGCTCCTCCCGCCGAGGACGAGTCCACCTTCTCCGTCGTCAGCAACACCCGCGACAGCGCCAAGACAAGATTCGGCCGTGGCGCCGTCTTCACCCGCGGCCGTGGCCAGCGTGGCGGTGCCAACACGACCGCCCGCGGTGGCCGGACCACGCTCGCCCGCGGCGGCCAACAGGGAGGTCGCGGTGGCTACGGAGGCGGCGGCTTCGACCGGGGCGGAAGAGGTGGCGGCCGTGGCGGCCGCCGCTTCGGCTGGAAGGACTACGACAAGCCCGCCCGCAACCGCGACGCCAGCGTCAACATCAAGGCGGACTGGAAGCTCCTCGAGGAGATTGAGTACAACCGCCTCGCCAAGCTCAACCTGGACGCCGACGAGGGCGAGGACGTCGACGCCTACGGCTTCGTCTACCACTACGACCGCTCGTACGACAAGCCTGCCGTCAAGGGCTTCGAGCGCAAGCTCAACCCTATCGACCGCGCTGCGTACAATGTCACGACTTCTTCCGATCCTGTGATCCAGGAGCTCGCCGACAAGAACGAGGCCTCCATCTTCGCCACCGACAGCATCCTCTCCATGCTCATGTGCTCCCCGCGGTCCGTCTACCCCTGGGACATTGTCATCTCGGTGCAGGGCAACAAGGTCTTCTTCGACAAGCGCGACAACGCCGCGCTCGACATGGTCACGGTCAACGAGAACGCCGCCGACTCCCCCATGGACGCCTCGGACGGCTCCAAGGACAGCCTCAACATGCCCGGCGCCCTCGCCGAGGAGGCCACCTACATCAACCACAACTTCGCCAACCAGGTCGTCGTCGAGAACGAGAACCAGAAGCTCGAGATGGCCCACGCCAACCCCTTCTACAACGCGTCCGAGGACACGGACCCGCCCGCCTCCAAGGCCTACAAGTACCGCAAGTTCGACCTGTCCACCAACAGCGAGGAGGACAACACCTACCTCATTGTGCGTACCGAGGTCGACGCCGTCCAGAAGAACGCCATCAGCGGCGACGACCAGCTCGTCACCCTGCACGCCCTCAACGAGTTCGACAGCAAGGCCCAGGGCAGCGGTGGCGCCCTCGACTGGCGGACGAAGCTCGTCAGCCAGCGCGGTGCCGTCGTCGCGACGGAGATGAAGAACAACTCGTGCAAGCTCGCCAGGTGGACGGTGCAGAGCATCCTCGCCCGCGCCGACGTCATGAAGCTCGGGTACGTTTTCCCCCTTTCTTTTCTGCCCAAGTCCTCCCTGAGTTGACCATTGCTAACGTGCACTCCAGTTTCGTGTCCCGCGCCAACCCCAAGTCCAACGACAAGCACGTCATCCTCGGCGTCGTCGGCTGGAAGCCCCGCGACTTTGCCAACCAGATGAACCTGTCGCTCTCCAACGGCTGGGGTATCGTCCGCACCATTGCCGACATGTGTCTCAGACGCGAGCAGGACACCAAGTACATCCTCGTCAAGGACCCCAACAAGTCCATCCTCCGCCTGTACGAGCTGCCCGCCGGCAGCCTCGACGACGACGAGGAGCACGACGAGGCGCCTCAGGAGGGCGAGGCCGACGAGGAGTAAGAAGGGAAGTACCTTGAACGGAAAGAGAAATCTCTTCAGTCCTATGACCATCTGAAGACCCGCATAAGAGTGAGTGTGAGAGAGAGGGAGAAAGGGTAGAGAGAATGAGAGAGACAGAGACGAGAGAGTGAAGTGAGGAAGGGGAAAAAGGTTTAATCCCAGTCCAAGATGCCTGGGTAAAGGCATGGCTTGAACAGTCGGCCGCCGGGGAGTTGGCCATGATGTAAAAAGTCTTTCTTCGACGGGGGTAGGCACGTATAGACGTCTATGGAGTAACGCATTACGGACATTTCTTCACCCAACGCTGGACCGTGACGCTTGTGTATGTTTCTGCTGGGGGTTACTCGGTGCGAGTTTTTTTCCCCTTTTGGCACAGTCTGGTTCTTTCCGTAGACTGTCGCGAGCCGATTTCGCCTCGTCCGTTGCCTAGTGTTGTCATATACAGGGACTCGGAGTTCCATAATAACCGCACATTTCCTTTCCTTTCGGGCCCATGTAGTTCGGGGATTACAGCAGACTTGGTGAAGCTGAAATGGCATCGGGAAGGACGACGATGAGGTTTGCTTCTTGTACCAATAATCAACGACGGCTCTTGCGTGTCCTGGTACTAGTTTGTACGGAGCTGTTCACTAGTCGGTCTCGATGCTCAACTCTCGGTATTGAATGTTCAAACAACACAACAGGTATTTGCTCATGTGCAGCACGATGCCCGTTGGCAAAGCACACCCACTCTTGAAGCATCTCCACACCAGATCACCACAGTCTTGTATCAATCGTCACATCCATCAAGCATTGCAGCCAGAGCGAGAGTCTGTTTGGAATCTTTCTCATTTCCCCCCGTCCCTAAAAAAAAAAGGAATTTTTTGGAATCTCTCTAAAATGCCCACAACGCCGAAGTCCATGATAGGATGCCATTCATGCCAATCATTAAACCACCCAAAAGGTTTTATCCATGACTTTTTTCCACCCTCTTTTTCTTCTCCTTTTCTTTATTTACTTTTGTCGGTTACCCGACCTGCAGCTCCCATGCTTTAGAATCTCTCCTTCATGCGCGCCGCGACCGTCCGCAGGTTGCCGTAGACCTTGGAAGGCGGCTTTCCGAGAATCAGGCTGACAATGGACTCGCGGGCCATGTGGATGTTCTTGTAGGCGCCGAGAATGTGGATCTTGCTGTCGGCCAGGACGATACGGGTCTTGCTGGCGTTTTCGATGGCGACTGTATCGATGTGTTAGTGGTTGCGACTCAGCTTGCGAGGGAAGGGGGGAGAGGAGGTCCGTACACTTTGTCTTGCCGTCCTTGCCTGCAATGCGGCCGATGGCACGGCCTTGCGCCTCGTTACCCATGACCTGCTTGACATCACGGATCTCGAACGTCTCGACTGCGGGTTGTGTCAGTACTCGTACATTGTGCAAACATGGCAAGCCAGGGCAGTCTTACTGTAGAGGTCGTCGAGACGCAACAGCGCAATAGCATCGTCGACGTCGAAGCCCAGGGTGAAGGCCTTGACAAAGTCCTCGCCCTTCTGCAGGGCACCGTCCTCGGTGGTGTGCTTCGACGTGCGGAGCTCGACCTGTTTCCGGCGCGGGTTCATGCGGACCTGGAGCTTGAGGTGCTCGACGAGCGGCGGGTAGACTGGGTGTCAAGCGTTAGCGCAACTGGATCTTCGAGTACAGTTCGAAGCCCGGTGCAGGGGAGAGCGTACTCTTGGGCCAAGCGGACTTGAGGGGTGTGAATCTGTGAGGAGGCACGGGGACCTTGCGAGTCTCTATTCTGGTGACGGGGTCCTGGGCACAACGGTTTAGTTCCTGACATAGAGACCATGATAGGCGAGGCAGGGGTGGCGCACGATGTCTCTGGCGGGCGCAAAGCGCGGGCGGTTCTCCTCGTCGACGACCATCTCGCCCTCCTCTCCGTTCTGCGGCACGCTGGGCAGGATCGCATCCATCTCCTCAGGCAGGGTCGGCGCATCGAGGAGGAGTTCCTCATCTTGCTGAGGCTCCTGGAGGGCGGCCTCGAATGGCGGGGCAGCGGTCTCCGCCTGCTTGATGGCGGTCGGGGCAGGCATGGTGGGTGGTTTTTCGGGTACGTGGTGATCGAGGGACTTTTGACGGGTGGGCAGGAAAATCAATCGTGAGTTGTATATCGGCCTTCGGTTGAGGGTGTTTCTGGGTTGGGTGTTGTGTGTCGAGCCGAGTCGGTCTGGCGGGGGTGTGTGGCAGGCGGTCGTGAAGAAAAAAGCGGCGGGCGCCCAATTGCCAGTGCCAGTATCGATTTATCGCCGAATTCCAAAATTTTGTGTTTCGCTATCGATAAGGGGATAAGGCCGGGGGGATTGTGCTGAGAAAGGAGTCAAGCCTCTGCGCTCTGTTTACCCTTGCACCGCCCAGGCCCCAGGGACTTCAGCTCAGGTGAGCCACACTCACCAAGGTAGAGGTGAGGTGGTCAGCATGAGGCCCAGACTTGCCGCACGGACCATGCTGTCTATGAAATTTTTCTGATGTGAGGTGACGCCCCATACGTACATGGTAAGGTACCTTTGGTAACGGGTCCTGCCGGGTTCAGCGAGGTAGAGCTGCGGTAGCGCGTCATGGATGACTTTTCACAGGTGCCCTTCCCTGGCCCAGCTTTGCATCTCAGTCATTTCTGCATGAGCGCATGAAATGTGCTAGCATTTGCCGTGTATCTCCCTCGATACCAACTTGCTTCACCCCTCTATGCATTTTCTTTTTGGTCCCTTTGCGGTAAATAAACAGCGTCGCTCTTTGTCCCTCGTCATTTCGTCGCCGCTGTCTCTTTGTTCAACCAAGAGACAGGATGAGCTGGAGACATGTCTAACGCTTCAACGACTCTACTCGGGCGTCGTTTTTGGTCCTGCGCCCGCGGATCGGCGCAGACATTGGGTCTGCGAGGGACAACCATCACGACCGCGACGGCCAAGAACACCTGCCTGAAAGCCAGTCAACCTGCTCTCAGCCCCTCCTATACCAGAGCGAACACCTTCAGAAGGTCGATACACTCGGGACCACAACACTCGTTCCCCCGGCCGAACATTCATAATGCGCGACGAAGCTATACGGGCAGTGGCCTGCTGCTGGTCGGGTTCACTACCAACCTTGCACCTACACAGGCAACAGCAGCGTGCGCCGTTGCCGCAGAGTCTGCCACGAGCAGTGGCCTGACAAAGTCCAACGTATATCAACTCGCTCGGCAGGCATGGCGACGAGGGATACACAGCGATTCCCGAGGTGTTGGCCCTGCCGAAAGGAGGCATCATAGCTCCAAGAGCGGGAAACAAGAAGAGAAGGGCACGACGGCCCAGCCGAAGCAAGATGCACCGAAGCCAGGAGAGCGGGGCAAGTCAGACGTACCGGACCCCGACGCCGAATCGATCACATCCACCGTATCGAAATATTTGCACATACCGAAGATGCCACACCGGCCTACCCGGGACGAACTCCTGGCCGCTGCAAACGGGTTCCTGGGCCGCATGAAAGTTCGGTTCAAATGGGTGTCCATCAGGAGCATGCGCCCATGGAATATTGACGAATGGGGCGCGTTCGTATCGTGGTTTCTGTTTGGTCACCTTGTCTGGGTTCTTGTCGGAACCACGACGTTCTTCTCCCTGATCATCTTCAGCATCAACACCGTTTTCGCGCAGGGTAAGTTTCTCTCTTTCGATGGACTGGTGCGGCCACTGACCCAAGCCATACAGAAACTCTTGCCAAATGGGTTGGCGACTCTCTGACCGAGTCCGCCGGTGTCACAGTCATTTTTGAGTCAGCCATCGTTCCCAAGTGGGGAGATGGTGTCATCAGCTTCAAGAACGTCTTTGTGTCGCGACGACCAGGGCAGGTCACGTCTTCGGTCAGCAAAGGATCATCTGAGAGCGCCGCAGCGATGGCGGCCACTGGAAAGCAAACCGATCAGGACGGTCAAGTCATGGAAGAGGACGACGGCAACTACACCCAATACGACCTCACCATCGCTACTGTGAACGTGACCCTGTCATTCCTGAAATGGTGGAACGGCAAGGGTTTCTTGAAGGACGTCGAAGTCAAGGGCGTTCGTGGTGTGGTCGACCGCACATCCGTGCAGTGGTCAGACGAAGCGGTTGACCCCCTTTCCTACCGCCACACCCACGAGCCCGGTGACTTCGAGATCGACTCCTTCAAGCTCGAAGATCTCCTCGTCACCGTTCATCAGCCCAAAGGCTTCCGACCGTTCTCAGTCAGCATTTACTCTTGCGAACTGCCGCAGCTCAGGAAACAGTGGCTGTTTTATGACTTTCTCTCGGCGACGCACATGTCCGGTTCGTTCGACGGTTCTCTGTTTACGATTCACCCGCGCCAAGTCCACGGTACCGTTGCTGGTGAGAATGGAGACATCGTAGAGGACGTTGGCGAACCGTCAGCATGGAAGAAGTTCAGCCGTCTGCGCATCGACGGTCTCAAGATAGACCACCTCAACCGAGGTGTCGAGGGGCCGTTTGGCTGGATTTACGAGGGCAACGTCGACATTGTTGCCGACGTCATGTTCCCCGCAGAAATCGACGACGGCATCACCAAAGTCATGTCAGACTTCTATGACCAGCTCGAGGACGTCGTCATCTCCAACCGTATGCGACTGCTGCAGAAGGATCTACTCGCGACCACTGCATCGGACCTCTTGGGTCCTACGCCTACAGAGGGCCATCTTTCCCAGGCTGCACCCGAAGCTGCGGAAGACCAAGCCCAGCAGTCTCCCGACATGTCCGATTCATCAGAAGAGGATCGAAGATACTTAATCATGGATCTCCGGATTCACCTAAACGATGTCAAGGCCGCCGTGCCCCTTTTCACAAAGGACATCTCATACATCAACCAGGCTCTTGTGCGCCCCATTGTGGCCTACATCAACGCCAAGAAGACCTACATCCCCATCACCTGCCGCATCGTCAAGCGTGCCACCGACTTCGACGGCAGCTGGTCCATCTTCGACTGCGGTCTCATGGACGACATGTCGGCCGAGACATACGAGGCATTTGCGCGCGACATTGAGGACCAGCAGAGTCGCGTTCGCCGGCTCAAGAAGGTCGGCTTCTGGACTTTGAGTCTCGCCGTCCACGCCCTCTTCATGGGCATGGCGGGCAACGTCATCTAAAGTCCTGCACAACATCTCTCCTCTCTTGCTTTCTTTTTTGCTTCATGCCCTCTACGCGAGCACGGCTGTCTTTAATGAGCGCATGATTTCGAAGACGGGGCGCGGTGCGGCGTTCCATCTTACATAGAAAGGGGGGGAAACCACAACATCAACAACTATGTACATATAACAGGCAAGGGCAGAGTGCATATCGTGCACAGGGACGAGTTGTGATGCGGTCTTCGAGCTCCCAACTCAATCCTGCCCTGCTGATTTTCTTATTCGGAGGCGAGGCGTTACTGCTTGATACAGGGGGATACATACACGTGGTAGGGGAAGAGGGCAGACAGCAAAAAATAATTGATACCCCTATTTTCAACAAGTTTCGGCCGAACGTGTTTTCCGACCATGCTCCAACCTTGAATGTTGTTGTTACTCTAAACGCGTTTGTTGCTCCAACGCGGGCTACGTATGACTCATTCCCACACGGGGAAACACAAACGTCTGCTCGCTGAGCATGACGCATGAACGCGCCGCGTCCGTCGTCCAGGGTCGAGGCGGGAAACAATGCTTATCGCAACAACATCCCCACCCCTTCCCCCCTCTCCACGCGACCCCCTGGAGCTAAGCTGCGTGTGTGTGCATGAAGCCGCATATGAGGCTCGGAAGCTTGGTGTGCCTAGCGTTTGCTCCAGACAGAAACAGTGATCCGCCGGGGAGATGACGGAAGCGTTGACTACTGGCATGCCAAGCATGGTTCGGCCGGGGAGCATGTGGCTTAGGCGGGATCTTTTCATGGACCTTTGTCACTCGTCTTCGTCGACGAAGGAGGGAGCTGCGTTCTTACTCGACGGCGCTCGTTGATGGGGTGAGTCGCCGTTGGACCTGCTTTCAAGACGCACGTGAGGGCGCGAGGCTACGAGTATGCCAGTAGACCATGGCAGTTGTTCGCAGAACTGCGACTGTGGTCGAGATAGAAACACTGAGGAGGGCCAGTCTATGGCACAGAGATATGGAAAGGACGCTTTTGCAGATGTGTCCCATGGATTGTTTCGGCTCTATCGTGTTTTGCTCTCCCTAGTCCAATTACTCATCATTTGTGAATGACCTTTTGCCCCTGATATCATGCAAGAAATGGGTGCACAGAGAGCCCATGGACCCCTCTAGACACTAAATGATGTCCCTCTTAACCAGCGTCTGCCTTTTAATCGCCGCCAGTTCTTCACCCTCTAACAATCTGACCCGGTCCACACGTCTCAGCAGCTCCCAACAGCCCGCGAGCCCTCCTTTCCAAGCAACCCCTACCGCGCATGGCGCAGCGGGGGTTAGTTTCCGCGACAGCGGCGCCGGAACTTGATCTAAGCCGCTGCCACACGCTTCGGTACGAAGCCGCGCCAGATCTGTTGGCACGGATTGGGGTCGCGGGGGTGTAAGGGGCTGGAGTCTGGGCGTGGGGGAATATTGCAACCCTGCCTTTTGCTTCACATAAAGTCGTCGCTGGAGAGGGGTTAGCTTTGTTTACCAGCAACGAACCGCCAATCAACTTACTCTCCGAAGCCGTCATCCTCGTACGTCTCGGTGTCGGCCACGGGGGCACGGCTGACGACGGCAGAGACCTTGGTCTTGGCCGCCTTGCTCTTCTTGTTACCGCCCTGGGCGGCCTTCTCCTCCTTCATCTTCTCGTTGCCAAGGGCGGTGAGAGTGCTGGCAATCTTCTTGATCTGGTCGCTGGGCAGGTCCTTGGCCAGGGCCTTGGTGAACTCCTGGAGGAAGAGGCCATAGTGAGCCTTGCGGGAGTTGTTGGCGAGGATGGGGGTCAGCGTGGTGCGGAGGTGCTCGAACTGGGTCTTGGTGATGGGGTTGAAGAGGGGCATGTCGGCGATGTTGGCCGTCTTGGTCGGGTCGTTGGGGTCGATCTGGACGGCGGTACCGGCGACGTTGGCCTTGCGGCCGGCGGGAACGCCGATATCACCGAAGAGGTCCTCGGCGTGCTTCAGGTCCGACTCCTTCTCGGTGCGGCGGAGGCGCTCTCTCTTCTCGGCCTCGGTCTCCTCCTCGCCAGAGTCCTCGGCCTCGAGGCGGGCGCGCTCCTCCTTCAGCTCGGCGATGCGCTGAGCTTTGGACTTCTTGTTCTTCTTAGCCTCCTCGAGGGCCTTGGCCTTTGCCTCCTCGGCCTTCTTGGCCTTCTCGCGCTCGACCTCGGAGTCTTCGGCGGCATCCCAGGAGTCCAGGACCTTTTGGGGAACAATATGTTAGTGGACACGGGACACGATAGAAAGGCACGGCATCGTCGACATACGTCATCCTCATCCTCCTCGTCCTCAAACTTGCGGCGGATGGGGATGGCGCCGCCAACGGGAGAGGCAGGGCCGGAGCTCTCGTCGCCGCTCTCCTCTTCGTCTACAGGGGAGCATCGTGATTAGTCTTGTTCCAGAGAGGTAGCAAGCGATATCGTATGTGGTGGGCCGAGAGGCAGCAGTTACGCTGTCCAGACTGGACAGATCATCGCGACATTTTGCCTCTCGCGATAATTTGTGTGCGTGTGTGTGTGTGCGGGACAACCCAGGTATTGATGAACTCACCCCACTTCTTGGGAGGCATGATGTCAGATTGTGGTTGCGCGGGGCAGAAAGAGAATAAAAGAAACTGGCGTAGGCGAAGGCGACTGCGCAAAGATCTCAATAGTCTTCTCAGAAGTTGGTTTATGGAAAGAACTTTTTTTCGGTCAAAGTTTAGGGAGAAAGGAAACCCGTCAGCCTGGCTGAAGTCGGTAGGAAACAAATTGTGGAAGGGAAGGGGCCCTGTGGTTGGGCAGGAAGGAAGTGAAAGGGAAACCCAAGGAAGGGAAAACCCAGCCAGGCCGAACGCGGCAGCGGCCAGCAGCGGGGGATCAGACGCTGGAGCTCCGAATGTCTCTGTCCAGCCCACTTACATCCACCCGCGAAGGCACGGCTATGGCGCTTGCACTCATGTGATGAGGCACCTCCTGCAGGCCACTTATTCCAGACATTTCCACGAGGCCTCTGTACCGTTCCGAAGGGATACTGCAATTAAATGTCTGCTCAACTGCCTCGTGCTATCCCATGCGCTCTGATCAACCATGAAGCGCTAAATCTCTCGTTGTAATGGCCTCTCGCCGTCGTCTACCCCACTGGACGTCAACCAAGGGATGACTGTTTGCGAGAGACCGATCGATATGCCAGATTTGGGAACTGGTTGTATTTCCCACACGGTAGTAAGTACTATATAGTAGCAGATTCTGTAAGCGCCCAATGACATCACCGAAAGGTACCAACTCTAGCGGCCTGTCAACCCCGCCGCCTGAGTTGCAAGTCTCGAAATGCCAGATTTCGTTGAGCGGGCGGCATTTTGGCCTCAAAGAGCTGAGCGGGCCACCGAGATCCAGAGCAGCAGGGAGCGCAGTGACTTCGCCAACAAGGGATATCCAAAGCCACCTAACTATGGTTAAACGAATAGGCCAGCCCATGCGCCCAAAGGTGCGTAAGTACCCATGATATAACGGAGCTGCTTCAACGCTATGTCAAGGCAGGTATGTACGTCCCCAACATGTAGGGGAGCAGAAACAACGACGATAAAGGAAACTGATAAAAAACTGGCGAAGGAGCACCAGCTTTCCCTAAGCTCCAAAAGTCCCAACCGCACCATATGAGCAAGTGGAAAGATGCAGTAACGGAAATTTGTGCAGGCTCTAGTAAGGGAGTTGACGGGAATCAACCCCGCCATTATCGGATTCACATGGGTGGCATCGCCGATACCTCACTTCCGGAGGTGTTCCCACGGAACATAGTTTCTGGCCTCGCTTGCCCCATTGGCCTCAAATGCCATTTCCGACCAACCAAAGCTCAAGTCTTCTTAGGCAACCGGCGAAGACCTCACCAAGAGTCAATTTTGCTTCACTTTGCGCCGGTCGAGCCTTCCATATCCCGCACTTTCCCAAGCAGTGACTCACCTACACGACCCCGCGCCTTGTTGCCTGCCAGAAAAAAAAAATTCACCAGCAGGCCCCTCCAACGAAAGCACCTACCTCCGGTACGTACCTACCTTGACTGATTGGGGCCCCACACAACATACCTATATAATGCCGTCCACTCACCAATCCTTTGCTTGTTTTCTCTCCTTTTCTTCTTCATCCGAGTGCAAGGGCATTACGCGTATCAGTGAGGATTCGTCCGAGATCGTGTTTTTGCTAGTTGAAAACTATAACTATGACCACTCCTGGTTGGCTTCGGCTGGCCAGGGAATTTTTGAACACCCAAGATCTCTGATGAAGATTTCCCTTTTTTTGCTTTCATTGCTTGCGGTCCCTGGTTGGATCGTGGTGAAGAAGGTCAAACTCCCTCTTGGCGAGGCTGGAGAAGTGTTGCTGATCTCTCGACGGGCCTGGCCGCGGTTGTTGTTTCGGCTCGACATATCCTATACCAATATTGACTTGGTGGACGATGCTCATCTTGATGTCCGGTTTTGAATGATGGCAAGCTAAGGTGAAAATTTTGCAGCCGGGCCCTAGACGCCACCACTCAAGCCAAGCCTGGTGAGGCATCTCTCGATCTGTGCCCGACCAAATTTTCAAGGCCAACCTCAGGTATCTCGAAATACAGCCATCCCGTAGCCTAGCGAGGGAATCAAAGGATCATGACCCGGCGCGTCGGGGGTCGTTCCGCGCCTGCAGAGCCGCCTTCTCCCGATGGGGCCTCCACTCACTGCCTCAAAACAACCTCAACCTCGCGGGAACGTGACCTGGCATCCATGCCGCCACCCCTCCCCGGCGGAACGTGTCTGGGCCAGTCTTGGGAGCCCGTAGGGACGCGACGACGGCACATTGACAAAACACGCAGGCGTTTGAGCAAAGAGTGTACTACGGCTCCGCAACACGCTAATGAGTCAATGGATCCCAACTCTTATCAAACATCATCACGCATTCAATATGAAGAACGAGCGGGTGGGGGATATCTGTCCCGGATAACTGTTTTCGAGCTCGATGAGAGGGAGACGCCTAATCGGGGAGCGGCCACCAGACGATCCTGCCTGTTCCCCTTGGATCTCCAGGGTAGGCTGGCGGGAGGGCGGAGCCGGGGCGGCGGAATGCGTGCCCGATCGGTCCCCGGAGCATCGTCATGTTTCTCGCCAACACGGGATTTGAAAGTTTGAGGTTTGGGGGCCGGGCTCCTCAGGCTCCAGCGCTTGTTGGGTGGAGCTTGGTGCGTATCGACAATCGCCGTATGAAAATTCTCGAACAAGCAGGGTTCTGACGGGTTTCTGGTGCATAACCCAACGGCGTCGAGCCGTCGAGAAGCGTTTTCTTCTTCTTGTGGGAAGTGTTCGCGTGATGGACCAAGGGGCGTTCACATTGATAGGGACGCCGAGTTCTGTCCTCAGATGCTCTTCTCAGGCACTCTTGTCCAAGACACAGGACAAGCCATACAACCCGTCGTATCAGACCCTCGAAAACGAATGCGAAAACATGCTTAGCAATGCCACGGCCTATTCCCGTCCATCTCCAGCCTCAGAAAAACAATCGGCGACTCGAATCGAATAAGGGATCTCGAAAACAAAAGGTAAAGAGTACCCCGGCCAATCGCAGCCGCACGAAAAAGGCGCGGAACTCCCTCTCGCAGCATTGACAGACGCCCACGACCCTTGTGGTGGCAGCTGGCCCCTTCCATCCCGAGAGGACCCGACATCAGCGCCGCGCAGCTGGTCCAGCTGACCAGACCCGCTGCCGCCCTATGGAGCGCGGGCTTTGGCATCTGGCATCTTGCGCCCCCTCCACCAAGACGGCGTCTCCAACATTGGCATGGCGAACGTCAGAACTCCTCGTCTATCCACAGAGGATAAGCCTAATGAGTTTTTTTCTCTCCCGGCGGCGTACTCTCGGCGAGTTTCCCGGACGCTTGGGACTCCCTTTACCCGCTCCCTGAGGCTCACACAGAGGTTCCTGCTCACGGTTACCCGGTCCATCTTCGTGGTGTCTCCTCTCATTCCTGCCCTTCCCTGTACCGGCGCTGCGTGTAATCCGTCCTCGCCGAAACCGTCATCTCTCTCTCACAGGACGGCGCCATGTTCCCCTGACCATGCCCTGGTGTGTTGTATAATGTACTCCCATCTGACATGCTTCCTACCTACGGCATCCCCACCGCCATCCGTACTATACATTGGATCATGATGGTATATAAGACCCTGGGCCGTGAGCCTTCCTCAGGCCGTACAGCAGTCGTTCCACTCGTCACCAAAAGCATCAACACCATCTATCAAACATTGACACATACCACTCATACTTCTTAGTCGTCTGACTGAAGATCGTCAACACGCTTCACCCATGCTTTCATCACGAGCATCCACTAAACTCTGTGCACCGAAGCAAGCCGCCCAACTAGCCCGGGCAGCGGTGCTCCACAACATCGGCGCATCCTCCTTCGTGGGCTACTACCACCCGGCCGCCGGCCTCCGCATCTCGGCGGTCGCCTCCCTCCAGCCCAGCAGCAACGGCAGCCGGTCCTTCTCGACAACATCGGCCACACGGCTCAAGGACTTCTTCCCGCCAAGGAGACGGAGCAAATCCGCAGGACAGCCCCGGCATGGCCGCACCCGGGCTATACCGAGCAGCAGATGCACGATATCGTGCCTGACCACCGCGAGCCGCGCACCGTCGGCGAGTGGACGGCCTGGAAGTTTGTCCGTCTAGCGCGGTGGTGCATGGATCGGGCGACGGGGCTGGGCAAGGATCAGCAGGTCGACAAGAAGAACCCGACAACGTCGCTAGTTGCTGACCAGCCCCTGACCGAAGCGCAGTGGCTGGTGCGGTTCATCTTCCTCGAGAGCATTGCTGGAGGTAAGTCTCAAGATCGGCCCCCCGTCCACCGCCGTCAGACGCTAATTGCTGTCAGTCCCGGGCATGGTAGCCGGCATGCTGCGGCACCTCGGTAGCCTGCGCCGCATGAAGCGCGACAACGGCTGGATCGAGACGCTGCTCGAGGAGAGCTTCAACGAGCGCATGCACCTTCTGACCTTCATGAAGATGTCGGAGCCGGGCTGGTTCATGAAGATCATGATCCTCGGCGCCCAGGGCGTCTTCTTCAACGGCATGTTCCTGTCGTACCTGATCGCTCCCAAGATCACCCACCGCTTCGTCGGGTACCTCGAGGAGGAGGCCGTGCACACTTACACGCGCTGCCTCTATGAGATCGACCAGGGCCTCCTGCCCAAGTGGTCTGATCCCAACTTTGTCATTCCTGACATTGCGGTTCAGTATTGGAAGATCCCGGAGGGACACAGGACGATGAAGGACCTGATTTTGTACATCAGAGCCGACGGTTAGTAGCTTCCGAGAATCCCCAAGCAATAGCATGCTGACACCACACCGCAGAGGCCGTTCACCGAGGCGTCAATCACACCTTGGGCAACCTCAACCAAAAGGAAGACCCCAACCCCTTTGTCAGCGAGTACAAAGACGGCGAGAAGCCGAACGCTGCGCTGAGAGCCCAGGGGTTCGAGCGCGAGGAGGTCATCTAGAAGACGCTGGTCGAGGAGACCGCTGCAGAAGATTTTGACGAAGACCAAGTTTTCCTTGCGTTCTGCCGAGAGTTGTAGACAAATTGAAAAAAGGAGACCGAAGATACCACTAGGAAGGGACCGACTGGCGTAGAGGCGTTGTTTGTTGGGAGACGAGCAGCCCCCACTCATTGTACAATACTGGGAAAGACATCGGTCATTGAAATTCGATGGAATTGTTGAACTTCCAAAATTAGCTCTGTTGACGGGCACGGCGAGATTGCAAGTCTTTCAGGGTGGGCACCCCGGCCTTCCAGCTTCGGATATCACGTTTGGCCACGCTGTGGCGCGTCCGGAATTTTCAACATTCTCCTGGAAGAGCCGGCCAAAAAACAGTAATCACATACCAAGTCTCAACAGCGGGCAAGGTTTAGCGATAGGTGAGATGATCCGAACAGCGCAGAATGAAGGGTGCCCGCTTCCCCTGGCAAACGCCGGGGTGACGACATGAAAAACAGATGGTTCACTCGTCTTGGTGGTTCACCTCTTCTCCAGGATGATCGACGAGCACAGCCACCTAGGGCACGATCTTGCACGTCGATGCTGCTTCGCCCGTGGGCCGAACGGGGGCAGCCTCAGATGAAGGCCGATGCAAATCGGCGGACGGCTGCCTGGTGTCGGTCTAGAATGGCGTGATGTCGGGGTCGATGGCAGCTGGGCCGCCGTCGAAAAGCACAAATGGAACGCCGGAACGTTGTCGATCGCATTTCCGGCGAAGGAACACGCCTGCGACACGTCGCCCAGCTTGACGTCTTGGACACACGCCAGTCCCAAGTGTACGGTCCGGTTCGTATTTCCGAAGGTTCTCTAAAAATGGATTTGAGTAGGCGGGGGAAACTGGCTTGAGGCCCGCCCCGACATGGGTCCCGGCCTCGACGGTGTGGAGATCAAAGGGTCCTGGAAGGTTAGACTTCGAGCATCGCGGGCTTCAATCGCCGTGAAATGGGCCTTCTGTCGAATAAGCTTCTTCCTGCCGCGCGGTGGATTTGCAAACAACGATGTGCTTGATGTCATATTGGAGCAGGCCTGGCTTTGGGAGCCACGAAGCCGGAGTGGCTGTGTCGCGCCATTCCGCGTCCTACAGCGGCGCTAGATGTGTAGCGGGGTGGTTATTGGCCCGTTTGTCAGGGAGAGTCGTGGGCCGCAGCACTTTGGGGAGCTTTCGGGCAGAGACACTTCATTGTTCACATCAGCGGCAGGGCTGCCGGCGGTGACGGTCATATTGCGACGGGGGACCCTGTTTGGAAACAAATTGCGCGTCTTTGCAGAAGACTCGTCCAACTTTGGGGCGGCGGATGGTCTGGGTTCTGATGAGGGGTTCGCAGAGTTGATTGAGCAATCGGGATTTATCCCGTTTGTTGCCCTGACTGATGATGTCTGACGCAGGCCAGCATTGGGAGGGTCAATCTTATCTCGAATCTGTTGCTACTGGTGATATATCTCGTGTCTTGCACCGAAGAGCTGGAGGGTGAGACTGGTTATGCCGTGCTCTCACTCAGTCCAATGAGGCGACACCGACGGCGGGTTCCGGGGCTTGATAAACTACAAGCTGGATACAACAAAACTATGCTTGGGTGCGGGGATGACAGCTCCGTCAACGTCGGGTCACGTTGTAGCAGCCAGAGGTTTTCGTTTGGAGTCTGGACTCTTGACTTGGGGCCCTGCGATCTGTGCCTCTGGGAGGAATGCATGTGCCGAGCTTGCACAGGGTTGCAGAGAAGTCGGCAGGGCTGGTTGGTTGGTTGGTTTGGGGCCATTCGATGCTTCGCTCACCGACGAATAGGTGGGTTGGCCAAGGGACTAAGGTAGTCGTGATGAGCGTCAGCATCCTGCGAGGGCACATTGCCTTTTCGAGAGAAGGCGGTCCTGTGCAACAAATTTCCTTGGCCAGAGTCTCTCGCTGCCTTTGGTCCCAAGGCCCCATGGTCAGGGCTCCAGCGAGAGCCGTTGGCCGGTCTGAGTGGTGCAGGCGTTTGATGAGATGCTCGTTTGGCCGTCCACTCTCATCTCATGTATGACGCCCATCCTCGTCGATGCTCCATCTGGGCTCTCCCATCCGATGACAATGCATGGGGGGGGGACAACAGAGTTGGGCATGCGCGGTTTGCTCTTGAAGAACGACGCCGGTGCTGATTAGAGATGGACCGCTGGCGTATGCATTTGGTAGAGTTCCATCATGTATCAGGTAGGTAGCCTAATGAGCTGGATATTGAAAGTGGAAAGTGGGTGGACGGGGCCTGTCAATCATTATCTGACAGGCCGGCATCTGACTAGACTGGGGGCGAGAATAACGACGACGACGACAGCGACGGCGCGCATGGGTAACGCGGTGACTGGCCGCCGGAATCTTGCTGCCGCCGGGGTGTCAGTGAGTACATGGCACAACACGAGAGATGAAGAAGACCAGACCGAGCAGAGGCAGAGACAAAGCTTACAGCCAAAAGCCAAACCTCACAGTGCAGAGAGCCAACGTACCATCTGTATTGGCATTGAGGTGTGTGTAAGTGATTCACGCGTGTCACGGCGTAGAAGGGAGACGGAATGCCAAGGCCAAGGCCAAGCGAGGGACAGTGTAATTTCAAATTACCGGGTCGTCGCGTCGAGCAGCAGGCGCACTGGATGGCACGGACCAGAACGAGAAACCCACCTCGAGGCAGATTCGAGCAGCAAGAACGCCCAACCTCACAATTGCAGTTCCAAACCTGGAACTGGCATCCACGGGCGCGTTGGAACATGGCCCCTGGGAAGGCACTCCCGGCCAATCCTGATGCCGAAAACTCCTCCTGCCTGCCTGAGCAGAAACAGTCCACTAAGATGCTCTGGAACAGCTGGAACAGGGAAGCGGATGACGGCCCCGTCAACTCATTTTCGACGACGGGACCGCGCAGCGCCGTCTAGGGAATCATCTTTTTTCTTTCTTTCTTTCCCTCTGTGTCTTGGTCGAAGTGTCTCTTGGCGTCCAAAGTTCCCATCGGTCTTACGTATGAACAACTGCACGTACCAGATGGACAAGTATACATCGAACCAGTTGCAGGTGTTGCAAGATGCCAGACACCTACATGAATAAGATGGGATGGGATGGGTCTTGGTGAGATGCTGGGATTTGGACGGCCCTTCCGGTCAGAATACCTGGAAAGCAAACATCCGCCCCGTGACTCTCTTACTCTGCGCACCACAATTCTCATGCTCCTCAGCATCGTGTATTACCTTATCTCAGATGTTCCTGTTCCTGTTCGAAACAAACCCCCTTTTTACCCCTCCATGAGGAACGGTAGAGTAGGTAGCCGTTTCCCGTTCGTTTCTTTGACCCTGGACGTTATGCGCCAGCGCAGCAAGGTTTTTTGTCGAGTCTGGTTCGAGGGTTCCTCTCAGCTTTTGCCGCCTAGGTAGACACTCATTTTATTAGCCCACATGCTCGCGTCCTCGGTGCCAACATCGTCGAGCTGGAGCTAGGTGCAAGTCTCTCCCCGGCCCCCGGCGCACTTCTTCACTATTGCCACACTCTTGCACTGTCCCGAGTCATCAAGCTTTCTCCAGCGAACGTCCACTACGACCAGGGCTCTTCCTTGCGTACAGTGTTTGCGAACTACTGGCACGGCTGGATTGTTGGCGCCCTCCGGCCACTCGAGAGATTATCTGCGCATCGAAACCGCCATCTGCTTTTCGCATTTGAGGATTGGCATCACGCCTCGTCGCAGACATCTCGCCTCACCGGCTTTCCAGCACTTGACAGCCGTCGCCCGTTACACTTTGTCCGAAGGCTGGCCAGCGATACTAGCGCCGGGCTACATTCCATCTTCCGCTTGAAACCTCCTGAGCCCTGGGACCCGAGCGACGTCCGTCATCATTGCTCAATCCACGTCAAAAACAAGGCCCAGGTGGCAAGCTGACTGAGAGAGTGAGAGTGAGAGCCCCGAGCAGTTACGAGTTATCCGTACGACAAACGAATCGTGTGCAGCTGGCTGCTGTGTACAGATCCCTGCGCGCAAAGTGAATATATTTTTGGATTCCACTTGTCGACTCGCATCTTCGCAGCATCACATCCCGTCGCATCTTGCTCCACGTATCCGCACACGCGGCCGGTACACTTTAAACCTTGGAACCAACAAAACGGGACCAGCTGTGTTCTGATCCGGAAAGTAACGAACAGAGAGATAGACAGAGAGCCAGAGAGCTAGGTGGCTGCACTGCAGTCGGCGCTTGACGGTACACACACACTCTCTCTCACCCACAAGCGCATGGGACAGGGACGGCTCCAACCACAGCGCAGAACAGAGCAAAGCAGACGGGACCCAGCCCAGCAAAGCGCATTCCAATTGGAGTCGGAGCGCGCCGTTGCAGAGGTACCTCGACCTGACCCGACCGTGGGAATCCAAGTACGGAGTACCTCCTTTGGACACGCATATGAGGCACATACTCAGGTACCCGGCTACCTGACAGTATCAACCCAAAGACGCCGGTCGACAGCTCCATCCTCAAACGTGCACAGCCTTGTGGGAACCACCCAGATTGGGCAGCCCAAGTGGATCATCCTTGACCAACCACAGCGACCGTCGTCCACCTTTCTTCCACTCCCTCTTCCTCCTTCCTTCCCTCCCATTCCCCTCCACCCTCACCCCCCCCCCTACCCCCAACTACGACCCGACCACAGAGTCACAGACCCCAATTCCACATCCTGGTGTCGGGTCTGTCTGTCCGGTCCACGCCCCTCCAGTGTTCTCTCTACCCGCCGACCAAGTCCTCGCTTCCCCATCTCAACTCCTCCTTCCGCACACTGTAGCATATTACCACTCGTCTCGCTCTGCCGCATTCTCTCCTTCTCCCCAAACGCCCCAAAAAGCTGCCTGCCAACAATCACCTCCCAAGTAGTTCTATCTCGGTTCCGGCGCCATTGCCCGTCGTCGCTCTTACTCAGTCAGTCGCTTTCATCTGAACCCGATTACACTTGCGTGGACCTATTCGCGACAGCGAATAACAGCTCGTCGCACACGACGACCCCCCGCCGCCGCCGACTCCAGTTGGGTGCGGTCAGCTCGCGCGTCAGCACAGCCCCAGGGCGGTGCGGTGCCTGAAAGGCTGACTTGTGAACTGCCTCGCCCCGATTCTAAAGACAGCAACGCAACACAACACTACACCACACACATACACCCACGCACACGACAACCCTCCTTCCCGAGTACCGGCACCCATTTACATCATGGATCAACAGGGCCTACGCGGTCGTTCCCCGTCTGCGGGGCATCAACAGCCTCATATAAGACACCCGTCGCATTCTCCGTCTCCGAACCCGTTCCAGCCCAACACCGAAGCAGCTTCAATTGGTCTCGGTCTCGGCTTGGATCAGTCTGCTACTCAAGCCTTCAACGGGGCCGCCTCCGCCGACTTCTCTAGCTTCAATAACAATAACAACTTCCTCAACGGCCAGCAGCCCGGACAGCAATCTTACAACCAACCCGGTGCCGCCTTCACGAACCAGGGCCAGGCCAACTTCCTTGATCCCAACTTCCCCTCGGGCGACTTCGCCTTGTTCCCCAGCGCAGGCCAGGGTGATAACCAGTTCAATACCGGCGTCTTCGAACAGAGCCTCGGCTCTGACATGAACAATATGGCCATGCCTCAGAGTCACCACTCACCCACTCCTCCGCACCTCCTCAACCCGGATCCCCACCAGACGCCCTCCGCGCGCCAGTCTCCCGCCTTCAACCAGCACCAGTTCTCCTCGCCGCCGTCGGGTCACTCCAGGCATGCCTCACTTGGCCCCGAAGCCGCTCTCCTGCCGAATCAGCTGAACGAATGGAGCCAGCCCCAGTTCCAGGGCCATAGGAGATCTCCTTCCGAGTACTCGGACGTTTCGTCGGCTGCCCCTTCCCCGAACCTCGTGAGTGCCGACAGCTTCGATGGCATCGACCAGCGTCATTCGCCGATGCAGCGGCCTTCGGACGCCGGCCTTTACCAGCAGATTGGCTTCGACAACTTTACCATCTCGGACCCCGCTCTCAGCAGTCCCAACCTGCAAGCTCGAAGCCCGTCGCATAGTCCAGCCATCTCCCCGCGCATTCTTCCCCAGTCGATGCCCGAGCTGAACCAGCCGCAGAACTTTGGCCTAGGGAACCAAAATGCAGGCTTTGTCGGCGGTAATGGCTACACCGGGCAGGAGGCGTTCCCGACGCTGCAGCAACCGGAGATGCCCCAGGTGGCACCAGCCATCAACATCGAGTTTGCGCCTACTGCGAGGCAGAACAACTTTGAGCCTCCCAAGAACCAGATGGATCAGGATTCTTTGACTCCTCCAGAGCGAGGTGAGCAACACGCAGTTCTTGGTATGAGTGATGGAACTGACAAAATATGACAGGCCGTCCCCGATCCCGACCGCGCGCAGTTACGGACCCTTTCAACACTTCCGCTGGAGGCATGGCGCGCCAAAGCTCGATGGGCAGCTTGTCGCCTCATTTAGGGTCTGACCTGTCTGGTCGCGACTCGTCCCGATCCCTCTCTCCGCTCGACCGAGGAGCCACAAGCCCCAACCGCAGGCGGCAGTCAACGTCGGCCGTGCCGAATAACGTGATTGCGCTTAGGCTGGCGGACCCCGAGTATCAGAACTCTCAGGACAACGGCAATGCGAAACGTGTACAGAAGCACCCGGCTACCTTCCAGTGCACTCTGTGTCCGAAACGCTTTACCAGAGCTTACAACCTGCGATCCCATTTGCGAACCCACACAGACGAGCGTCCCTTTGTCTGCACAGTTTGCGGAAAAGCGTTTGCTCGCCAACACGACCGGAAGAGACACGAGGGTCTGCACTCTGGCGAGAAGAAGTTTGTCTGCAAGGGAGATCTCAAAGCGGGCGGCCAATGGGGTTGCGGTCGGAGGTTCGCGCGTGCCGATGCGCTTGGTCGACACTTCCGGTCGGAGGCGGGGCGAATCTGCATCAAACCCCTGCTGGACGAAGAAATGCTCGACAGACAACGTGCCTGGCAGGAGCAGCGGATGCAACAGCAAAACATGCAAAACATGGCGGCCCAGGGCGCCATGGGCATGGAACCAGGCTACCCCATGGACGCCAGCGGACAGTACATGCTGCCAGCTGCCCTGCTTGCTCAATACCCGGCGCTGGCTCAGATGAATTGGTCAGCGCAGGACGCTAGCAGTGGTCTCGAAGATGATATATCGGGTCGGTCGTCTTTCGATGCTAGTGACTACGAAGGCGACGAAGGCGGTTATGTTAGCGGACCCGGTACAGGGTTCGGCGAGGGGGGCATGGGCCAAAACTTTGGCGAAGTTGGTTATGCCAGTGATTATGGTGGTCGGTAACGATGGGCGCGATCTTTAACTGACCTTTTTCTCGAAAACTTTTTTTTGTCCTTTTTTGCTCTTCTTTGTGCGGCCAATCGCCTACGAAACGTACTTTACTATTCATTTAGTTCTGGGGGTGCGGCGCTTCATGAACGAGCGTCTGTTGTAAGGGAACACTGCGGCCAACGCCCACAGAGGGCGCTGAGCGGATGGTCTGGTTACAGGGTTTAGAACGCGTTGTTATAGATACCATCATGACGATATTTACTTTTCACAATCCATTATTGTTCAGCATCATGTGCTATGAAGGTTTCTCGTGAAAGAACACATGAGATGATGCTGCTGCTGCTACTACTGCTACTGCTATTTGTAACATGCCTCTCTCCAGGTGCGTTGACCCTGGGGGATTAACATCGCCGATAAGATTGTGGTTACATCATTTGGCAGGGGCCGCGGCGGTCAATCATGTGCCCCTCACTTGTTCGCAAAACCGGAAGGACGTATTACTGATATCCGTCGCCAGCCCGTTAGATTAGCCCCTCACTTGTTAGTAAAACCGGAAGGACGTGTTACTGAAATTCGTCGCCAACCTATTCGATTAATCATCTCCGGAGCTGATTACTACTGCAAGAAACTCGGCGCCGGATTCGCGCTCAAAGCCAGTCCCAACTCTAAACGAGTGAGAGGGGCAAACCACGTCCGTAAGCAGGAGCTCCGGACCCCCGGCGCCGAAAGAGGGGTGTCGTCCCAAGCCCCGGATTTCCAGAGGCTCCGTGTGACAAACAACCACCCACCCCCTCCTCAGTCCCTCGGGGTTGGAATTGGCAACATGCCCTTTCCACACGTTGCTCGACCGCCTTTCTTTAGGGACGGGCGGGGGGGGGGGGGGGGGGGGGGGGGACACAACAAGGGCGGCACGGAAAACCTTGCCAGGAACGGTGCCTGGGTCCGCCACATAGCTCTACCGTGCGGGGCGGCTAGGACTCTGTGGAAAAAGGTCTATGATGTGGGAAGATTCACGGGAGGCGTACTGTTGGCATGCAACTGGTGTGGATAACCATACCGCCGGCCCCAGACCACACCACACACACCCACACCCAAGCATTTGTAAGCTAGGGGCCGAGTGGTGACGATGGGAGGAGGGAGGGGTTATTGGTCTCTGGCCCGGAGGAGGGGAGCTTTCTGTAATGCCGACGCGGGTGGTACATAAAGGCAGAGCAAGTCCTCGGCTTTGAAGCTATTGCGACACTTGCAATTCAGTTTGGACCCGTAGCTTCTTGATACCCCTCCGCCCAGCACACGCACGAAACACTAACTACTTACATTAGCTATCCGCCAACCCCCCAAAAAGCAAAAACAGACACAGCAATGGCGCAGAACCAGGCAGTCAAGACGGTCGCGGCGGGCGTCGCAAAGGTCGTCGACGCGCCGGTGCCGGCCCTCCCGGCCGACGACTACATCCTGGTCAAGACGACGGCCGTGGCCATCAACCCGACGGACTGGAAGCACGTCGACCTCGCCGACAAGGCCGGGTGCGTCGGCATCTGGGTCGGCTGCGACTACGCGGGCGTCGTCGAGGAGGTCGGCAAGGGCGTGACCAAGGACTTCAAGAAGGGGGACCGCATCTGCGGGCCCGTCAACGGATCGTGAGTCGCGCCGCCTGTCTGTGTGGTGTCGGAGGGAGGAGACGGAAAAGAAAAGGACAAAGGTCGCTGACAAGCACGGATAGGAACGCTCTGAGAGAGATTGACGGCGCTTTTGCAAAGTACATTGCCGTCAAGGGCGACTTGCAGATCAAGACGCCGGACAACATCTCCGACGAGGAGGCCGCGACGCTCGGCATCGCCGTCACGACGGTCGTACGTAACCCCCCCCCCCCCCCCCCTCCCAGCCCCTCGTCCACTCCCCCGGAACAAGACTGACACGGAACCGCACGCGCAGGGCCAAGGCCTCTACCAGACCCTCGGCCTCCCCCTCCCGACCTCGCCGACCACCGACCCCTCGGCCACGATCCTCATCTACGGCGGCAGCACCGCCATGGGCATCTCGGGCATCCAGTACGCCAAGCTGTCCGGGTACAAGGTGCTCGCGACCTCGTCGCCGCACAACTTTGACTACCTCAAGTCCCTGGGCGCCAGCGAGGTGTTCGACTACAAGTCGCCGACGGTCGCCGAGGACATCCGCCGGCACACCGGCGACGCGCTCACGCTGGCGTGGGACTGCCAGTCCACCGCCGAGTCCGCCGTCCTCGTCGCCAAGGCGCTGTCGAGCTCCAAGGGCGGCGTCATCGGCACGCTGCTGCCGGTCGACCAGAAGGTCGTGCAGGAGGCCAACCCCAAGGTCGAGGTCAAGATGAGCCTGTACTACACCGTCTTTGGCGAGGAGTTTGGGTACTTTGGTGAGTCCTCCCCGTCCCCGTCCCTGCCCCCTTCTCAATTCCGTTGGTGGTTCCGCCGTGTCGTGATGCGTCAACCCTCCCCCCCCCCCTCGGCAGTGATTTCCTCGCCAGGCCGCTAACACCCCCGCAGGCAAGAGAGACGCCGTCCCCGAAAACTACGAGTTCGGCAAGATGTTCTGGGAGTTGAGCCGCGGCCTGCTGGCCGACGGCAAGCTCAAGCCCATCCGCGTCGTCAAGAACCAGGGCGGCAGCGGCCTCGACGGCGTCGTCGTCGGCCTCAAGGAGTTGAAGGAGGGCAAGGTCAGCGCCGGGAAGCTCGTCTACACCATCTGAGGAAGGGGCAGAAGGGCGCACTGCGGCAGTGTTCCGCGGGGCAAGGAGAGGGAGAGAGGGAGAAACAAGGCAATGATGACGTGGGAGAAAAAACATGAGTTATATTTGAGCACCTTTGCCAAGACTCGGAAAGCATAATGGTACCGCTGGAACGAGCAACAACCGTGGTATCTAGAGTCATTCTGGAAAGAAAAAAAAGAAGAAAGATGAAAACGCCTGCTACCAGTTTTGTGTGTGTCCGCCTCGCCCGGACCCGCCTACATCTTGTCCCGGCCGACCCTCTGCGCAACCTCGTCGAGCATCTTGCTCATCATGTCGCGATGCGCGCTCTCCATCTGCCCCTTGACGAGGGGCATCAGCATCCGGCTTGTTTCGACCCGCGTAGTCTCAACAAGGTCATAGTCCCCCTCGACGTAGCCGCCGAGCTTCCCGGCGCTGTGCTCTCCGGGCCACCGCTCCTCGGGCCGCGGCACGACGAGCCACTCGGACCAGACGCGGACGCCGGCAGGCGCCTTGGCCCGGGACCGCAGCCCGTTGGGGATGTTCTGCAACACCGCGGGGAAGCTGATCTCCGTCTTGACGCCGGGGGCGACGGTGACCTTTTCGTAAATCTTGTACGAGGCGATCTTGAAGCCCGTCTCGAGGAACCAGTCGTCGTCGACGACGCTCTTGAGCGGGACGGGCACTCTTTCGTAGCGCGTCACCAGCGGCTGATGGCGGATGACGGGGGACTGGGATTGCAGCATTTCGATGACGGCTTCCGCTGGGAGCATACTGGGCAACGGGATACGGATCGTGAGGTTGTGGTGGGCGGGCATCGTGACGGGCTTCCGTGCCGGCGGACTTCGGCGGAGGAGGGAGAGAGGGGTTTGCGACGTCGCTTGCTAGGTTGGCAGAGGTTTGTCCGTCGACTCCGAGAACGACGAGAGCGGCGCGATGTGAGGAATCCGAATCGTCAGCAAAACACGTTGCCAACGGCGATGGTGCTGGATAACTAGTAGAGTGTAATGCGTCCCAAAGGTCAAGATCAAGTCAGCTTGGTTCCCTGCCGGTTCAGGATCAGCGAGGATCCGCGTGTCCTGTGTCTGGAAGGCGTGTGGGAAAGCAGAGAACCTTGTCATACGTGAACTGCGTCCTCCCATAGAACGGAAATCTTAGTAGACAGAGTAACGCTGGAGGGGTCGGTCATCTTTTGTTTCGTCTGATGGTCTGTTCTCCGGAGAGGGGCCATCCCCCAACCAAAGAGACAGGATGCACCTGATGCTGAGTCGGTGTCGCATGGGCCTTGCCCGAGCAAACGTCAAGCAAACAGCAAACGAACCGACGTCACTCGAAGGATTTTTGGCGTCGGAGGTTAGCATACACGAATGACAGCTTTACCGAATCTAGCAACAGGTGTAAGAAAGAATGGCTTGATCTGCCAGGTTATTGGTCGGGACTTTGCCTGGGATATTGGATATCGTTGCTTATCAGTCTGACAAGCGCGGATTCTTGTTGTTTGCTGCAACTTGACACTCGATGTTGAGAACAATGGGAGAAGGTGAAACGGGCGATGATACTATTATTAACCCCTGGTGGAGGAGCCAGTGCCTCGGAGCCAGTCTCCTGGGTAAGCTCCAGCTGAGGCGCAACCCCGGGATATGAGAGAATCCGATCTTGCACCCTGGGCTGGGGGACAGCCGGACTGCGCCCTGGGCGAGAACCGCTGTCGGTGTGGTGGCGGTGGCTGATGCTGACCACCTCACCGGGGAAGCGAGCACGGGTAGATATCTGCTATCATCGCTCAACGGGACGTGCAGTGCATCGCACTTGACTTCGGGATGCAGGGTCGTCTTTCTCAGCGGGCAGTATACGCTCCGGCCGGAAGCGGAACGGTCCATAGAAATCCGAACATGGGCCTTTGGGCTCATCCCGAGTCGAACCCTGGCTTTGGGTCCTTCAGCCTCTCGGCCTCTTTCTCCTAGAGGACGGGTGTTGTTGATGTTGTTTGGCGTGTATTGAAGCAACGTCACGCGACTTGAGACATGGCCGCAGCAGAAGGATGTGGTCTCACCGAGCTCCTGTTGATCGTTGATGCAGGGCCTCGGCTTGGCTGAAGACGTCCGTAATCTGGGGACCGCCTAGCAACAAGTATTGGATCAACGACTTGCCATCCACATCACAGGGCCATCGCACGATGGCTCTGGCCACCCATTGCTCAATGGACAACAAGCTAACAGCCAGAGCGACCTACATTTGCATTGCTTTTGTCGGAGAATACCATCGGCGGCACGGTGGATGACTCGATGCCCGGCATTCGACTGACAAACACTCTGGCGGTTTGGACCCAGGAAGCGGTTCGAATTGAGTCGACAAAATTCCGGTGCCGATGGAGTCGGCTCTGCGACTGATCAAACCTGCCAATCAGTCATCCTCCATCGTACTGCGTTGTCCTCCCCATCGACCCATAATTTCAACCTGATCAAACATCGTGGACCGGGTGGCCAATTGTTGCCGCTTCAGGTCTGACCGCTAGAAAGCACCACGAGATGCTGAGAGTCCGTCAGAGGAACCTCCACCGACCGACATCTCTGCAACAGTAGGCTGATGCTGGAAAAAAGTTTTTTTTTTGGGGCTGGCAATCCGTTGAATGAGGTCGTAAATGGACGCGTGAGCGCTACTCTCAGTCGTATGCATCGTTTTACCGCATGCTCATCGCTCCTCTGGTCTTCCAAAATGGCATAAACCCATTGTTTTCTTTCGTCTCTGCCTGCGTCATGCCGGGCATCCAAACTGACATGTTCCATGTTAGTGACCGCATAGTCTCACCCGCCTTAATTCTCTCCACTGACAACGAAGAGAGGCAATAAAAACATGCGGCATCCAAAGTTCAAGGCCCAGACACGATGATCCGGCGTGGCTGGTTGGTGCGAATTCGCCCCGATGTGGTTTGAGATGTTGAAGCGGTGAAGGAGACGCCATACCCATTTGGGTGATGCTCGTGGAATAAGTGGGTTGGGATGCGCCATGCGCTGCTGGAGGTGGGACATGCAGACGAGACGATCCAGTAGAGGCGTGCAGTCGCATCTCTCAGGCAGGGCCAGACTTGGGATGTGCATGAAGGGCATGTTAGTTCCCGATGCGCCGCCGCCTGGCAGGTGTCGCCAGAAGCCTGCGAACACACTCGTTGAGATGCGGGCTGCTGGCGCTGGCCCGAGATGACTGGACGGACATCGGCCATCGTACAGATGCCAGATAGGGCTCCGGGGTGGTGGGAAGACGGGCTGGCAGTCCTCGTGGTGCGCACAGGTTGCGAATACCACGCCCAGCAGACGTCGTACCTTGCTAGCAGGCGCATGGCTGCCCAGTCGGCAATGTATCGATACCTCATGTCCTGGTCTGGTGCGTCGGTAGGTGCACTGGTGCATCGATGCTAAGAGGCTGGCCGAGCCATCAACCGCATGGCAACGTCTCCATGACTGACGGTGGGTTTTCCATCGCCCTCCCTGTGATCTATCCCGCTCCCGGCACGACGATCCAGACACATGGAGGATTCAGTTGAGACGGAGAGATTGTACCATAGTGGCAGTGGGCGTGGATGATGAGCATGGTGTTGCCGCTTCCCCCCTTCCCTGCCGGCGTTTTGCATCTGCATTTCACGCGTTGCCCTTCAGACTCGGATGCATGGCCGAGCCTGCCTGTCATCAATAAGGTAACGATGTGCCTGTACACCACCTCGCAGGACTTTGATCTGGAGGCGACGTGAGAGGGAGCTCCCTTCCCAATTTTTCCTGCTTGGCGTGGTTGGTGTTGTGTGGAGCACATGGGTGAGCAAAGAGTGGCTGGACGGGCATGTGTACCTTTGTCAGTGAGCGCTTTAGCGAACGAGACGGATGTCGACCAGCAGACCGCAAGACAGGATAGAGCAGACAAGATGAGATCAACTCCGAGGAGGACATGGGCGTCCGGGCATTGCCGGATAAGGGCTCTGGCAGGGGATGTGATGGATGTGATACACACAGCACAAACACTATTCTTTGGCAGGATGTGGTCGTCGACGAGCCAATTTTTTTTTCCTTCTCTCTCTCTCCTTCCCCCTTTGCGCTACGGGACGAGGTTGAGCTTGGATGTGGATGACAGCAGCGCGTCATCATGGACAACATGGAAGACCGCGGTACCGAGATGGAAACGTGTGTGTAACGACAGCGAAGACGCAAGGAACTACGTTGTTTAGTAGTGACTTTACGGTGCAGGGAAGAGGAATGAAAAGAGGTGCGTAGGGTCTTGCTACTAGTCTAGGAACCGGAGCCCAGCGACAACTGGTCCGTTTTCTTTCTTTTCTTGGTTACTTCGGTAGGGTGCGGATACATGTGCCTTCCCGGAACGCTAACCAAAGTAATGAAGGCAATCCCGTACGCAGCCTGGAGGTACAGCAGTGTGAAAGAGGCGACACCCAGTGTGGTAGGCATGGAAGGGGAAGGCGGTATTTTGGTTTACAGGTGCTAGCGGCAAGGGCGGTTTGCTTCAAGGTCGTTCTGTCGGGCTTGGTTTCTCTCACCTGGATCTCTCTGGGAAGCTCATGGCATGTTTGAAGCCGTTCCACCCAAGTTATTATCTGTCAAGATAACGAATGCACTTAGCAGACAAGTTTATTACAGCAACTTGTCTTGAAAAAATCTAGCGAGCAATCGAGCACTTAACACCTCCTGACCTCTTCTAGGCCCTCCCGTTCCCTTCCCGCATCGGGTGGTGCGTGTATGCCTGTGTGTGTGTGTGTGTCATTGCGTGTGCTGCCCGAATGCCCACTTAGAGCGGACGGGATCCTGGAGAAATGGCATCACCTGGGCGGCAGGCTGAAGAGGAGGGGAGGGTCACGGTGGTGTGAATCGAGTCGAAAGACGGCACTTGCAGGGGTTGGCTTGGCCCATATCACACTGGCTCGGCCAATGAAACGCCGAAACCGCCCCCTCATCACTGGCCGAGCTGCCAGGGGTCAACACCCTCTGACGGGACGAGAAGCGGTGCTGCGCTTTTGCCGACCCTGGCACCTCCTCCTCTCCAGTCTCCTTCCATAGTCTATCATGGCCCGCCATGCTGCTCCAGATCTCTTGCTGTTGACGCGGAGAGGTACTATAGGTAGTACATTACACGCATGCAGCGGAGTCGGCGACTGAGGAGCAACGACTGGGAGTCCTCAGGCCTTTGGACTGGACGTGATAGGATGAAAAGGCTGGGTGGATGGATTGCATAGACATGGACCTATCCGTACCTCATCCAGCATCAACATCCATAACTATTCCTCCGACCTGCCCTACCTCACCCTTTGACCTGTTGTGCTCTGTCTGTAACATACCTCGACATACTCACTCCATTGTTGGCTCTTTTTTGTGTACATCTGTTTTGTATACAAGACGCGGCCTCGGCCCATGTTTCTCTAACTTGTTCCTATCAATTACCCTTTTGTCGCCGTGTTACACAACGAGGCGGCGCTCTTGAAGAAGCAAGACGAGACGAGACGAGATTTCTGAACGGGAAGCCGAAGAAGGAACACCGACCGACCGTCGACGGGAGGGAGTGTGCTGCCTCGATAGGCACAACTCTCTCTTTCTCTCGACCTCGGCCAATTACCTTCCAACCTGCCGGGCAAAGCTCAACGACGAAACGAAAGACGACTCTGTTGACACGCCAGCCACTGCTCGAATCACGTCCTCGACCGATCCCAAGCACCGACGAGCCATTCGCTCAGCTCGCGGTCTAACGAGCCAAGCATAACCCGACGTCGAAGGGGACGAATTGCCTTGCCAGCTGCAGGTGGACGTTGCCTGCCTGACTCCTGCAAGATATTTGGCGGTCTGCAACACCACCATCCATCAACTCGCCTCGCCGCGGCGATCCAGCGACGACGCGCCGGGCCATTGGCTCCCTGTGCAGAAAGTGGCTTGTAAGAATCTTTTTTTCCGGGTCGCCTCCAGCGTTCCTATTGCTCCGTTCTTTGCCTGTCTGGTTCAACCTCACCTCAGCCAGGGAGATTTAAGTCGGATATCAAAAAGGGGGCCAGAGACGGCTTGCATCTCTGGGATGGGTACAAAAGGTCGGACGGCTGGTTGACTTTTTCGTGAACAGCTCTAGGATCGGTTCCCCGGCCATCAGACGCCTGCGTGCCCGCTGTACTTTGTGAGCCGGACAGCACCAGACGGGCGGCGACACCCAAAGCTGCATCCCTGTCCATCGCTTGAACCTGGCCCGTTATCGTCCAATTCCCCGGCAATTCTCGACAGGGAACCAGGAACATAATTAATCGAGGGAAGCCCGGATGCACCAACACAGAGAGAGAGGCAAGTCTACATAGTACGCTATTTCGCTCTGCCCTGCCATTCCATATCTTATCCGTCATTCATTGACTTCTTCCCTGCTGCCATCCGTTTACCTTACCTTACCCTGAAGGTCCCCTCGCCTCCCCTCCCCCAGGTCCCTTGCGCGCTGCGTACCTAGCGTAAAGTGGTTTTCCGTCCCTTTCATGGCCACCCGAATCGGCCATCCCACCTTTACGCCCCAGCCTGCGCAATTACATCTTTCACTCCACGCGCAGTCACCTTTTTACTGACTTGCACCACCTCTGTCTCAGTTCGCCTACGTAGTACTGATACAGAGCCACAAGAGGCACCTTATATCGCCCGGTCTCCCCTCGCACAATCACACCGTCTCTCGTTTCATCGACACCTTCCTTTGACCTGACGACCTCGCGTGCGCGCGAATCCGCTTCCCCTCTCGATACCCTTCTTACGACGACGAACAACGAACCCGACGGCGACGACGACGACGAAAACTTTCCCACAATCAGCATTCAGCCTTCAGTCGTTCCTCTCTTCGAACCGACATAGCTTCCATGATTCTCACGCCCAGCTGCCGTAACACGAGCTCTACTTCCCAAAATGGCTGCGGCCGCGGTTTCGACGTTCTCCCCTTTAGGGTGGGCAGAAGGCGCATATGGATGGAGGACGACGACCCAACCATCGACGACTGGGTGGGATGAGTCCGACGTGCGTATTCGTTTGCGCATGATCGCGCGCGCCTGGGAATCTGCTTCACACCATCTCCAGGTACGACCCGAGACTTTTTCGTCTGCCGTCATCCTTTTCTCCAATTCCTACTTTCTCTGGAATTTTGTGCGCGCCAGTGCCGTTCCAGCCTTGACGCCTCAGCGCGCTCGTCCCAGGCCTAACGGCTGCCGTTCGACGCAGAGGATGGCCGGGAAAGTCTCCTTGGGGGACTGGGGGAAGTGAGGGGCATGACGCCGCCTCGCCCCCCATTCCACTAACACCACCGCCTTCAGATGAACTACCGAGCTAGGCTGATCCGCTGACATCCCTAGGTTTCATCCCATCACCAACCCCTCAAAACCACATGTGGTATCTCGAGCCCACTGAAAGCACCGGAATGCGGTCCGCGATGGTTGCGACGCTTCAACCCGCCCTCTGAACCGTCCGATTCTCTCGAACAAGTTATGGATCCGACAGATACCGGCGGTTTTGCGAGTCGGCCACCCTCTGACTTTTCATTCTTCACGCGGCCCCAGACTTCAAGCACGGGCAAGCGAGAACGGCGTGGCGGCGACGCCATTTTTCAGGATCCCACGCACAATTTCCTCATCGACTTTGGCTCTGAGGAAGGCTTCATGCAGGCGGCGAAGAAGAAGAAGAAGGCGCCAGCCAAGGCCCCGGCCGCTAACAACAACAACGGTAACGACGACGATGGCGCCAAGAAAGAAGATGAAGGTGCCGGCGACGGAGGCGACAAGAGCGGCGATGCGGGCAACGATGGTGGTGCTGCGGGCGACGGCGATGGAGGCGACAAGGAGACCCCACCACCGGCTGACGATCCACCTCTGGATGACGACTGGGGTTTCGCAACCGCGAAAAGTAAGAAGAAGGGTAAGAAGGACGACGAACCACCAACTATCCCGGCACCCAACCTGGATTCCTTCGACGAGATCAAATTAGATGATACAGGCGGAGGCGGCAACGGCACGCTTGACATCAATTTTGGCTCAACGGACACCAAGAAGTCAGGTTTTGGCGCCTGGGGTACAAACTGGACATCAGGCACGGGTTTAGGGAGCACGTGGGATTGGTCCGGGGCTAACAAGAATGCAGCCGCGAACACGCCAGCAGAGGCGAAGGAAGAGGTCGATTCAAATCCCTGGGGCATCAGCAGTGCAAAGTCGAAGAAGAAGAGCACAACACTCGGGTTCAGCTTCGGCGAAGAAACGGCAGCCGACCCGGAGCCGGCACCAGAACCGCCAAAGGAAGAGGAGAAGAAAGATGATCCCTGGGGCTTCGCTACCGCAACGTCGAAGAAAGATAAGAAGAAGAAGAAGGCCAGCATTTGGGGCGAGCCTGCGGAAGAGGAGAAAGAAGAACCGCCCAAGGTAGAAACCCCTGCTGACGACCCATGGGGTTCATGGGGTACCACAACTAAGAAAAAGGGCAAGAAGGACCCTGAACCCGAACCGCCCAAAGAAGAGACCAAACAGGACGACATCTGGGATACCTGGGGCTTGGGTAAGAAGAAGAAGAAAGAGGAACCGGCGGCGATCCCAGAACCTGAACCGGTCCCCGAGCCCGCGCCCGACCCACCAGCTACCGAAGCGGATCCTTGGAGTTGGGGAACATCGGCGAGTAAGAAGGACAAGAAGAAGAAGAAGGGCCTTCTCGACCTCGAACCACCCAAAGAGCCAGATCCACCTCCAGCGCCTGAGCCGGAACCAGAGCCGGAACCAGAGCCCGAGCCCGAGCCCGAACCGGAGCCGCCGAAAGTTGAAGTAGATCCTTTTGCCGGTATGACCAAATCGCAGAAGAAGAAGAAGATGAGGGAGATGGCTGCCGCCGAGGCCGCTGCCGCCGAAGCTGCCGCTGCCGAAGCCGCTGCTGCCGCCGAAGCCGAGGCCGCTGCTGCCGCCGCCGCTGAAGCAGAAGAGGCCGCTCGCATCGAGGAAGAGGAGCGGCTCGCGAAAGAAGCCGAAGAGCAAGCAGCGAAGGAGGCAGCCGAGGCAGAGGAGGCAGCAAAAGCGGCAGAAGCGGCCAAGGCAGCGGCCGCAGTAGATGACTTCGGATGGGGTGTAACGACCAAGAGCAAAAAGAAGAAGAAGGGCAAATCTGAACCCGAGCCCGAACCGGTCCCTCCACCACCGCCACCTGCTCCTGAGCCTGAACCGGAGCCGGAAAAGAAAGACGACCCCTGGGGCTTCACCACCACAACCTCGAAGAAGGACAAGAAGAAGAAGAAGGGGCTTCTTGCCGATCCTGAACCTCCCAAGGAGCCTGAGCCCGAACCGGAGCCAGTGGCGGAACCAGAGCCCGAACCAGAGCCGGAACCTGAGAAACCAGCGGAAGATGACTTTTGGACCAGCCTGGGGTCTTCCAAGAAGGACAAGAAGAAGAAGAAGGGCAAGAGTGCTGAACCTGAGCCTGAGCCCGAGCCGGTCCCTGAACCTGCTCCAGATCCTCCTGCTGCCGAGCCAGAGCCGGAACCGTCCGCAGAGGATGACTGGGCGAGCTTTGGCCTCTCTACCAAGAAAGACAAGAAAAAAAAGAGCAAGTCGGCAGATCCTGACCCTGAGCCTGAACCCGTACCGGATCCACCAGCTGCGGAAGCGGAGCCGGAGCCAGAGAAAAAGGACGATGACGACTTCTGGGGCGCTGTTTCTTCGAAGAAGGATAAGAAGAAGAAGAAAGAGGCCGAAGCTGAAAAGCCCAAGGAAGACTCATGGGGCATCTGGGGTCTATCTTCCAAGAAGGACAAGGACAAGGATAAGGACAAGGATAAGGACAAAGAGAAGGAGAAGAAGAAGAAGAGCAAAGAGACCCCGCCTGCAGAAGACCCGAAGGCAGAACCGACCGAGGACGACGACTTGACGTCGAGCAAGTCAGAAAAGAAGAAAAAGAAGAAGGACGCCATGGCCTTGGTTGAGTTCGGCGGGGAAGAAGACGAGGCCACCCCTGCCGAGGAAGCTCCTCCCGCTGTGCCCGACATTTCCGACCCCCTTGATGGAGATGACTTTTTCAGCTCCTGGAACATCGGCAAGAAGGACAAGAAGAAGAAGGGAGCCGACGCCGAAGTTGCCTCAGTAAAGCCTGATGCGATTGAGGAGCCAGCGGACGACATTTGGGGGACATCGTCGTCCAAGAAAAAGAAGGACAAATCCAAGAACCAACCCGTGGAAGTCATGGACGAAGAGCCCAATATGGATTCCGTACAACCGGATTCCGTCGAGGAGACCAGAGACAAAGGCGAAGATGACGATTGGGCCGCCTGGGGATCCTCGAAAAAGAAGTCTAAGAATCGTAAGGACATACTCGCCGACCCTCCACCGCCAGCTCCCACCCCTCCCACATTGGACATGACTGAGCCTGAAGCAGAACCAGAACCTGAGAAAGACAAATCCAGCTTTTGGGGCGACTTGACCTCTTCCAAGTCCAAGTCCAAAGACAAGGACAAGGACAAAGACAAGGAAAAGGAGAAGTCTAAAAAAGAACCCAAGTTAAGCGAGAAGGAGCTCAAGAAGCTCGAAAAGGAGAAGAAGAAGGCCGAGAAAGAAGAAGCTGCGCGCAAAGCCAAAGAAGAGGAAGACGCTGCAGCCGCTGCAGCCGAAGAAGCAGCTAAGGAAGAGGAGGAGCGTCTTGCTCGAGAAGCGGAAGAGGCTGCTGTTGCCGAGGCCGCTGAGGCTGCCGAGAAGGCTCGATTCGAAGAGGAACAGGCCGCCAAGATCGCCGACGAAGAAGAACAGTTCGCTGCTCTGGAGGCCAAGAAGCTCAAGAAGGGCAAATTGACCAAGAAAGACCAGGCCGTCTACGATCAACTGAAGGAGTCCGTCGATCAACGCGCCGCAGATCAAGCTGCTGCAGAAGCCGCCGCTGCCGCCGCCGCCGAAGCAGAAGAGGCCGCCCGTATCGAGGAAGAGGAGCGATTTGCGAAAGAAGCTGAAGAGCAAGCGGCCAAGGAGGCCGAGGAACAGGCAGCGCGTGAACGAGAGGAGGCCGAGGCTGCGGAGAAGAAGTCGAAGAAGAGTTCCAAGACGGAGAAGGAGTCCAAGTCCAAGTCCAAGTCCAAGGAAAAAGAGAAGGAAAAAGAGAAGGAGAAGGAGAAGAAGGACAAGAAGGAGAAGAAGGACAAAAAGAGCAAGGATAAGGACAAGGACAAGGACGAAGACCCCGAGCCAGTTCCGGAGATTGGCAACGATGATGACCTGCCCGACATCGAGCTTACTGAAGAGCAAGTGGAAGAGCTCCTGGCCGACCCGGAACCTGCAGAACCCGATCCTCCTCCGCCACCCCCGGCACCGGAACCCAAGCCGTCCAACGATGCGTTCAGCTTCTGGGGCGTTGGCACTAAGAAGTCTAAGAAAGGTATGTGGCCTCGGGCACGGCCCCAGTCTCCCTGCACACCACTACACCAAGTCTCACCGAGACCTTGAAATGAGACGCCTTGTCACCTCGTCACTTTGAATGTCAACAAATATGACAAAGCTGACTCATCTTCACTCTAGCTCAAGAAGGTGCGAATTTCGGCTGGAATGACACGACTACCTCATCCGCCATAAACAGCGATGCCCCGACCTGGATGCAAACGTCTATGGCTCGTAAGGGCAAAGGAACGAAGATTACTGACAGATTAAAAGCATTTGAACCGACGCCGCCGCCAGAAGACGAACCAGCCCCTGTTGTTGAGGAACTTGCGCCCGAGGAACCGCCACCAGAGGACCCAACCCCAGAGGAGGAACCTGTTCCCGAGGATCCCGTTCCGCCGCCTCCGCCTCCGCCGGTCGCGTTGTCAAAGGAAGAGAGGAAACGGCTCAAGAAGGAGAAGAAGCGTGCTGAAGCTGGGCTTGCGCCGCCGCCGCCACCGCCGCCTCCTGTCGAGGAACCACCGTTAGTCGATGTCGAGGAACCAGCTGACGAGAACAAGTCTTCGGAACCCCCAGGAGCTTTCCCAGCTGATGAGGACGAGAACGAGATCATCGAAGTGATTGAAATGCCAGTGGAGAAGAAGAAGAAAAAGAGCAAAAAGAACAGGGAAAAGGACCTTCTTGCTGAGGACGTCCCTCCTCCGCCTGCTCCTCCACCACCCCCGGCCGTACCTGAAGTCCCCGCGCCTGAAGAGCCCACCGCTGAAGAGGAGCTGTTGCCGCCTCCCCGGAGACAAAATCAAGCAAAAAAGACCGGGCCAAGATCAGCCGCGAAGGTTCATCGTGGGGCATGTGGTCGGCCTCGGCACCTCGCGAAAAGGACAGAGAACGTGAGCGTGAGCGTGGCCGCGACCGCGACCGCGAGAGGGATCGAAAGTCCAAGCATAAGTCTGAGAGACGTGAGAGGAAACACACGACTGGCGACAAAGAAGAAGGCAAAAGCTCGTCCAAGGGCTCCAGCTCTGGTAAAGGCGACCGCGCCGAGAAAGACATGGAGACGCCGGCGCCTGCACGGCCAAAGCTCACGTCCATGTTCAGCACCCCTCCTATTTCCCGGACGACCTCAACCCGGGACCGGCGTCACGGATCCAGTGGCCGGCCGTCACGCCGTCACTCTGTTGACCCTACCGGCTTGGTATCACCACCCTCAGAGAATGCGCCCCCGATGTCTTCTAAAGCTGCCAAAGTCCTTGGCGTCGACAAACCAAGCAGACGACGCAAGCATGCTCCTGCCGACGACGATGACATTGTAATGGTCGGGGCGAATGGTGATGGAGAAGATGCCAGCCCCCCCAAGTCCTCTCGCCGACGATCCAGATATCCCAAAGATGACGACATTGTGATGGTGGATGCCGACGGCCCTTCGGAGCCACCACCCATGAAACGGTCCAACTCGAGTGCCAAGAAGGGCCTCGGTGGGTTATTCAGTGGCCTCCGAACTCCCAAGACGGAGCGTCCGGACCCATTGCGAAGGCGTCACACATACGCGACCGATGACGACAGTAGGCGCGAACGCCGCAAAGGCTCCTCTGGTGATGCCGAAGACGCTGACCCGTCAGCAATGACCGACATGGACCAGGAGGCTCGCCGTGCTGCCCGTCGTGCACGACGTGCTGCAAGGGATGCCGAGGCCGAGATTATCGACCCGGAAGCCGATGAGGCACGTCGCGCCGCCAAGGAAGAGGCCAGGCGTGAGCGTCGCCGCCGAAGGGAAGAAGAAGACGCCGAGGCGCGGAAGCAAGAGGAAAAGGAGGCGAGACGCGCAGAACGACGCGCAGCCCGCCAACGTGACGAAGAAGACAGGAGAGCGGCCGACGACCGAGAGGCTGAGCGGGCCGAGCGGCGACGACGCCGCAAGGAACGTGAGGCTGCTGCTGCCGCCGCCGAGGCAGACGCGGAGGCTAGACGAGCAGCACGTGAAGAACGCCGGCGCGCCCGCGATGTTGGCGGAACTGAAGACGAAGAAGCTCGAAGGGCCAGGCGAGAAGCTCGACGCGCCGCTCGTGCGACCGGGGAAGCGACAGATGGAGAAGAAGTCCGCCACCGTGGCAGTCGAAGGCGGTCCACCCGGGAGTCGGGTGACGAAGCGCTGCAATCATCGCACCACCGCTACCGACGCGATGAGGAGGCGAGGCCGGTTTGGCCCCACTCCGGAACCTCATCATGGGTCAAGGAGCACTCCGATGCGGGTCCGCCCCCGGAGGACGGCGGACAAACCGACGCCGTACCGCAGACCGAGGACGAAGCGCGTCGCGAGCGGCGCGAGCGTCGGCGCAGAGCCAAGTACGAAGACGGCACCGCCGATGAGGCCGAGGATCGCCGCCGCAGGGCCCGCCGTGAGGAGCGCGAGCGCAGATACGGGGCGGTAGCGGAGGCGTCGGCGGCGGCGGGTCGGAAGGCAGCGACGAGCGGCGGCGACAGGCCATGTTCTCCGACGCAACGGCGACGCCGCGGAGTAGCTGGTGGAGGAAGCTGACCGGCTGATGTTGTCTCGCCATGACGTGTATGAATGGAATGGTCAGCAAGCGTTGTGAGATTTCTGGACGGGGGCCCTTGTTTTGATTTTGTTGAAGATGCCATGAGAAAAAAACCTAGCTTATCACGATATATCGGACATATACCCACCATACAAGCCAAGTTATATTTGCATTTTTATTGAGACGAATACAGACACATCAGGACACGCATCCACCCTCTTCCACTCATCTTGGACCTCTTACACGTGAGATACGGGGATGCCAAGGGACCTTGGAGTGCTGGACCTTTTTGCCAGATGTGGGCCAAGTAGGGGCATTGCGCATACGTGCCGTCAACCCAATCCGGTAACTCGGTCATCCCTAGACGAAGTGGACGTTTACGACTAGATACATGGAAGAGCCTCACCACTACACCAGATGATGCTGCGCAGGTTCCACAAAGTGATTAGACTGCGCGCGAACCCATCTCCAGGCCGAAGCAACTCTTTGATACCGGAACCCCCTCGGCGAGTCCCAGCCGTGCCGCTCGAGATGCGAGCGCAGCCGGGCTCCGCGGCAGAGCAGCTCGACGGAGCGAATACGGAAGGACAAGAGACAAAAAGACCAAAAAACGCCGAGACGAGAGTGCCCGCCCTCGTTCCCCTCCCTATACTTTCCGCCTCGCCGTCGCCCGCAAGAACGTCCACCGCCATGGCCGCGGTGGTTCTTTCTTCTGGGCTTCCAGCAACCCCCCTCCAATCACGACGCCGAGGAGGCCGAGTTTATTCAGAAAGAGGGGAGGCCTCGACGCGTAGCCTGGGCGCCCGTTCGCGACGCCAGTGGCCGCAATAGCAGCGATGTGCTGCTGCTCACTCGGATGCGGCGGGTGGTGGTGGAGGAGGTGGTGGCCTGATTTCTAGAGTCTGTTCCTTTTGGAGAGATGCGCGAGTCGACGCAACTGTGTTCGCTTCGATATCTCTGGCCACTACATCAAGTCAAGATATCAGACGGTTCGCAATTGGGTGAAACAAAACTAAGTATTAACTATTGATGGGACTATGGCATGGGTCTACTGCAACGCCCAATGGCGGGGTATATGTCCCTTCTGTCGGGACAGAACAATGCGCAGAGTACTGCCCCCTTATACCGCCTCGTCTTGATGAGTGAAGGGCAGTGATTCCAAACAAGCCCTCGAGATGGAGTAATTAGGTAAAGAACGAAACGATGCTTCATCGCAACCCGGTCAGCTTGAGCAAATCGTGCTGGTGGAAATAAGCGCGGACTCGCTTGCCGTAGATGTCTGAATGACGCGTTAGTCCAACCGTGCCCGTTGACAGTCGGGCCTGAAACTTACACATGGGGATGCTCAAAGCGCAGACCACCACCTGGATGCTTGAGATGGCGATCATGGTGTTCTTGATGCCACCCGCAATGATCCAGTCGTACGCGCTGTACGTCAGACCGAAACTGAAGATATTCTTGAAGATGATCATGATGGTGAAGCCCTCAATGGCGAGTTCGCGGTAAGCGTCGACGATGTACAGGGAGCTGGCGACAGCACCGATGACCATGCCAGCGACCTCGAGACCGAAAAAGACAAGCGGGACGCTGTAGTGGTATTGCCTAGTGGTGAGGCCAGCGGAAGTGATGGCGAAGCCGTACAGGCCCATGCAGCCAATGATGAACATGGGGAGCACCATGACGATGCGGAACTCGGGCTCGTAGATGCCGCCGTTGCGGCGAGTCATGAACTTGGCACTCCAGTCGGCGAAGACGCCGGCAACGATGAACCCGACGAGGGCTCCTACGAAAGCACCTACATAGGCGTACCCGGCATTGACTTCGTTCCAGTAGTAAGGCGGCCCCAAGAAGATGGCGGCAACAATGACACCAATGAAGACGGTCCAACCAATCATTGTGCCCTGGATCAAACACCCCCACAGGAAGGCGGGTTGGACGAACAATGGAAAGGGACGCAGAAGAAGCTTCCAGTAGCTCTCGTCCGTCTTGCGGCCGTCAAAGAGGGCGAGCGACTGAACAAAGGTCTTCTTCGGGGTATGCGCTCCTCGGGTGGCCTCCCGGTCGGGTGCGTTCGTCGATGAGCCGGCGGTCAATTTCTCGCGGTCGTCGCTGGGGCTGCTGCCGGGGGCTTCGGTGAAGGACCCAGGCTTGTTGACGAGTTCGATGGTTTCGGCGACCATGTCGGTGTTGAGCGCGGCGTCCCGGCGGTAGGACGTCTCGGGGCAGAAAAAGAAGACGGCGGGAAGCATGACGGCGCAGAAAATGGCCTCGAAGTAAAACGTCCACCACCAGCCGATGCTATGTGTGATCTTACCGACGACGATCGGCGTGAAGAAGGCGCCACCGAACACGGCCAAGTTTGTAAATGCCATGCGCGAGCCGCGCTGGTGGACGAAGTACAGGTCACCAACGGCAGCGTTCACGAGGGTCTCGAACGGGGTGCAACCGATGCCCTGGACGATTCGGGCGCCCAAGAGCGAGTTGTAGCTGGTGCCGACGGCGCCGGCCCAGGCAGAGGAGGCAATGAGGATGCATGTTCCGACGATGAAGAGATGGCGTTTGCCCCAGACACGCGCAGAGGGCACGAAAAAGATGGCGGCGCCGCCAACCCCAAGGAGGAAGTATCCGGTCAGAAGAGCGATGTGTGTGAAGCTGGTTCGGAAGAGCAGAGCGATCGTCACGGTGTTGGCGGCGAGAATAGGGCCAAGGGCAGTCGCAAAGATGGCTGTGATGGATAGGACGAAGGTGATGAGGTCTCGCTTCCACAAAGGCCAGTTGAGGGGGTCGTTTGGGTCGTCGGAGGGTTGGGGGATCTGGTAGAGACGCGGTCAGCGATGATGCGCACGTCGCGACACCGTGCTGTAGGTGGCTCACAAGTATGATGGGCACTTCGCCGCTCGAGTCGACTTTCAAACCATGGTGGGCATTGTTCGCAGCCTGTGGACGGTTGGGATCATCGAAGTAGCGCGTCGTCCCTGCAGTATTGGCGGTCGGCGTCAGCGATGGGATGACAGCAGGCCAGAGCGGGTATCAGGAGAGCGAAGGCGCATGCGCTTGGGACGACTTACCCGGCACATGGTCCAAGGTCTTGGACTCGAGAACACCGAGACCCATGGCTGCGAATGTTTGGGCTTGGGCAGATGCTAATGTTAGCAGTGCAAGAGTTGAGGTGTCACGACATGATAAGGCCGAAAAGAGGTAGACAGCCGGCACACGCTAAGCGACCTGGCGTTGTCTTTGAGGAGAAGGACCTGGAGGGGGAGCGACTACGAAATGAACGGGTGGAAAAGGCTAACCCCCTCCCTTCCTCTCTCACCCATCCCAGCCGTGGTGCGACCTCGAGTCGGCCGGAGTGGAGAACGGCTCCGTGCAGGAAGTACCATTGGAACTCTAGACCAGTGAGACGGCACTTGGCCAGTGTTGTTCTTCGGCAGCTGCGGGCCTGGGGGTCGCTGGGGTTGTCGACATGGGGGCCCCGTCAGAATCATTTATTTAAGTGGCTCATTAAACCTTAAAAAACAAGCCAAGTGGATTGCCCAAGAAAAAAAAATCCCCCGTTTTGGTTGGGTCCTCCTGCTTTTGGAAGCATGGAACAAAAATCCCCGGGACCCCGGCAAACTCGAGGAGCCGGGTGGGCGCTATCTCCCCCAGAACCGCTGCGGCGACGAACTGTTGCCGGTACGCCAACTACACTCGGTTCGAGAAGAAAGAAGAAGCAGCGACGAAGAACGGCCTGGGCTTTGTGCTTGCTTCAAGGGTGCACATCCACCAATATTGGCCGGAGTTTTCCGTTTCTCTTTCGAAGAAACTCAATATCTGCGCCAATCCATCCCGGTTTCTGGAGCCAATATGGAATGATGGTGTAAAACTCTGGCAATCTCAAAACGAACCTTGATATCTGTACTGGCATGTGAAGCGTCTCTCAATTTCTCTGTCTTTCGTGATGAGCCTTGGGAGCTATGCGGTCATGCCTCGCCGCTTTTCCTCCACATTTTCCATCACACAGCTGTCGGACTCGAGTCCGTGTCATCGCGGGTTTTCCGAAGTTAGCAAGGTAACCGGGTGGCCCTATGTCCGATGCAGACGTGTCTCTCAGCCCGACAACACCACTTAAAGTTTTGGCTGCAATCGTAGTTGGCGTTCGTGCGTAAGCCTTCCGTCCTTCGGGCACCGCCATTCTGACTCCGTTATGCAGGAGTCCAGCCAGCTAATACCTTTGCACTTGTGACATGTTCCGGCTTGTCTACCTTTAGCCCTAGTGTGTGTAAAAACTACTGAAGCCGCTCCGGTGCCCATGACCTAATCGTGCCTACTCTTTTTATACTGGCAATTCGGTTATTTGTTTACGGGTCAGTTCTACATCACTAAAGACTGTCGATGTGGAATGATCAGACCAAATTGCTGTTACGTCCAACCTCATACTTCCTAGAAGATGATCCACCACCACTCTGCAATCTTTTTTGTATCATCAGCAGATCGTCTTGGTTGCGTTTCGACTTCTAGCCAGTCAAAGTACAAAAGATCTCAACATCAAAACATCAAACTGTACAGATAGTTCAGAGCATGTATTCTCCGGTCAGGTAACGGCATGTTGAATTTTTGTATCGTAAGTCAGTCTTGTGCAAATCGAAAAGTGGCTTTCAGTACCTGGAAGCGAACCGCGAAACGCAAGCATACCAACCCGCACTGCACAAATTGACTTGAGGAGAGCAGATTCATCGTTTGCTCCAAAAAGGACTTACAAATACTGACAGACGCAGCTCTAGAGACCGTACAGCCCACAGCTGGGCAAAATAGACTCCGTTGAAATTTGACAAGCTGCAATGTCCACGACAACTCGATAAAGCTCAAATCATGATATCTCCAACACCACAATTGCACGCAGGTCAAAAGACATCGAAGAGACGGCGACACGCCCCACAAAGCCATCGAAACATGCAGAAAACCCCGAAACCCAGCATCTTCCAGAATTGTACATCGAGAATAAACAATTTTCGAGACCATGTGGTCCGGGGAAATTGGCATTGTGTGAGAGCGAAACAATTGTACGTCGTTTTGTTACCCGATTTGGCAACTTGCAAATGCGCGGAGAGAAAAGAACAGGGGGGACACAAAATGGCGCCGGCCTGCATCGAGGCAGCTTTCCTACTACTTCTGGCTCCCCTCAACACTTGTCACCAATAAGCAATTGGAAAAAGAGTAACAAGAAATCCAAGAGCGTGGTTGGAGTTGTCAACGCCTTACCCTTCTATCATCATCTGAATGCAGAAGGGAAGTAGGTCAGTGTCTGAACGTTTTCGAACGTCGATTAATTAGGATAGAACTGATTCGACCCCAGCACTGCACATCACCGATCGTTTCCGTTCTACGTCTTTTTTTCTTTGAAATTATATCTCTCCTCCCTCGACTTCCCTTATCGTTGTCTTCGTGTAAAAGTTATTATTCTTCGAGCCCAATAGTTTGGGAGCATGACACTTTGGTGAGCTAGTGTTTGTGCTACAATTGGGACCAAGGGCTCTTTGCGATACGAGGAAACGCTGACCATATACCCGTACTAGCCCTCGGATCACAACAAAGTACCGCACCTAGCAGGGCGTTGATCAAGGTTGCGAAGCCGCCTAATCGAAAGACCCCTTTGGTCCCCGAAACCCGGACGGAAACCCTGGGTAACGCCAACTCGTCCTACAAAACACTTGCTACCGTTACAATCCATTTTGGCGTACAGAGAGGCCGACTGGTCGAAAAATAGTCCACGATTGGCTATGAAAGTCCTTGTAAAACTGGGTTCGATGGCAAAACAGTTTCATTACAAAGGCTCATGGGATGGCGAAACACCCATGTCAAATGTCTATACCCGCATTATAGGCGATAGGCTGTGCGTTGCGGAAGGAACTCCTACCGATCGGGCTGTTTGAGTTTGCGGCTTTGGCAACCGTCACAAGGCGCGTACGGGAGCTGGCGATTCAGACGCGTGCCGGGCAACTATGTCAACTGCGGTGGCAACTCTTTACGAATTCGGTATCCCGACATCGCGGCATCTTTTGCGGCTGTCCCGCGGGCATCTACACCGTCATGGTAGTTGGAAAAGGCAGTGCCGTGCAGAAAGCATTGTTCTTTGTCGAAGTCAAATGCCCAACGAAACACAGCCGGATGTCCCAGAAAGCCACAGAGGCTGCAAAGAATGCAATTCGACCGAAAAGAGCTATCAAAAATGACTTGGTTTTAGGCAATGCGCGTTACGGCGCAGACGCGCCCAAACAGCACTGCAAACGTTGTGCTCAGGCGTGCCAGGCTCTCTGCGCGGCTGGGCAGCAATCGTGCGCTTGGAACAAAGCGCCATTAGGTACGCAAAGCACCATCTCACAACATTTTACCCTCTACAGCCCATATGACATGTACTTTATCCAAGCGATGTTTCGCATGCGAACATCCCATTCCCCCAACCTGGGGTGAGGGATCAAAAGAATGAGTGGTCTCCAAGCCCGAGGTGTCCGCCGCTGAAAAAGAAATCCATCGTCTCTAAGGACAGAGAACTGTCGAACTCGGGGACCAGAGTTTCTCCCGTGAAAGAGGAAGATGGGTGATCGTACTGTTGCCCCGGCGTGCCCCGCTGCTGCTGTTGTGTCGTCTGCGTCCAAGTCGGAGCCGCCGCCGCCGCCGGCCCCGGTGGTTGGCTTCCACCCACCCCCAGTTCAGACAATCCCACCCCAAGCATTCCATGGTGACCCCCGGCGGCACACAGGCGGCCCTCGATGCGTGAGGAAACCTTCTTTAGGGCCCTCTCTAGTCCGAATTGTATCGCCGACGGCGCGCTGTTCCCCGTGACGCCGTTGTGTTTCTGAGCGTCGCGGAGCAGCGTCAGCACCACGTCATCTGCGTCGGACGGCAAGCCCCCGGTCGCCGACGGCTTCTGTTCGTATTTTGAGATGATGAGCATCGCGTACGCCACGCACAGACGATGGAACTCGGGCAGCTCCTCAGCGCGGGAGGCCGGCATGTCAACGAATGCCCGAACGACGTCCGTCGCGAAGGCGCTGACGCGGGATTGCGTCATGTCGGGAGGCTCATGGGCGCCCGGCTGGTTGTGGGCTTCGCTGTTCGCCGCGGCGTCGACAGGGTGAAGCCTCGGCGAGCTAGACAATGAGTCTTGGTCTGATGCGGCTTGGTCGCGTTCGAGCGAACGCCGGGCGAGGATCAGCCACGCGATTGAGTAGCTTATTCTCAGCGTCGAGGCGGCAGGGAGTTCTGTTCAACCAACGCATTAGCCTTTTTTCAAGTCATCCCTTTGCATGCGTCCGCACATTGGTGCATGTGTGTCGCGTTGTGATGGATTGCAATTATCCGAAGGGGAGGGATTGTATGGGCTGGGCCTACCAAACAAGTAGTTCCACCTTGTTTTCCATGCGGAGAGGTCCTCGCATGTGCCGTCGCTGCCCAAATACAGCCTCTGCGAGAATTTGTCCTGCAGTATCAGATATAGCATTATTTCAGCATATACCATGGCGTCTCGCATCGTCACCTCCTCAAAGTTGAGCAATAGTTTGCACTGTCGGAGGTATGCAACCGGGACAGTCGCCGGTCGACTAGTGGTCGCCGCCCAACTGAGGTGATCGACGTCAGCACCGTTCCTTCAGCACTTATCCACAACCGTGTGCAAGATGTTCACCCATTCGGATCCTTTCTCTGCATTTCCGTTTGCTTCCTCCCTAGCAGGCTCGTGGCTGGCGCAAGTTCAGAGGTTAGGACTTACTGCAAATTTACCAAGCAAGTATTAGCCCAAAGCCTCATAACCCTCTGGTCCGCCTCCGTCGATGTCCCGGATGTTGTCCTCGATAGGATTTCCGAGAAATTGATGCTCAGCATCGCCTGCTGTGCGCAATGCCCGCTTACTAGCCAGCTATCGATATATTCAGGGCCCTAGTAGCGTTGTATCAGCCCGATCTGCAATCATGATACCAATGTCCGGTTCTCCGGCGTCGAGATTCAACACTGGATCTGATCTGTGGTGAGCGCTTTCACGTACCGACGGCGCCGATGCCCACAAGCTCATGATCAAAATACCCATCAACTCCTCCAAGGGAAGCGGGCTCGCAATCATCAGCTGGCCCATCTGAAGTCTCACATGTTCAAAAACGCGCCGGTGCAGCACCGAAGAGCTGTGCTCAGTGAACCGCAAGGCGTGTAGGCAGCAGACATCGTGCAGAAAGGGTGACGCGTGCCGGAGGTCCCTATTCCTGGGGGCAAGGTCGACCTCGCTATTGATGAGGAGAGTATGTCGTCGTCGGCGTACGAATCTACAGAGTGCTTAGCGTTCGGAATAAACCATCTCCCGCAGCTATGCAGACATGCCGAGAGGTGTGATTCGCCCCCACGTCTGTACCCTCCTTTCTTTTTCTTGTGTAGAAGCGATTTTGGGGACCAAGCAAAGTTAGCTGGGGACAAAACTCACTCAACAACCAGATCACGGGCTGTCTTGTCATCCAAAAGGCCCAGCGATACAACATCGGCCTGAACATCAAATGTCCTTCGGTGCCGTCCGCTCAGCTGACTTCCAACTTTCCGTACAACTTCCGCCGGGGACGAGTAGACATGTCGATCCGCCGGCTCAACGTCTTCGTTGCTTGGCACTTTGGCAGTGTCGGCGTCTTCGTTGCCGTTCTTGTCCGCAGACGGATGTTGCTGTTGCGGTTGCTGTTGTCGTTCCTGTTGGCCAGTCGCCAGAGTCCTCCTCTTATCTAACCGGTTTCCAGAGACAAGCGTCTGTATCGTCGTCTTGAGGTCAACGATTGATGCCTCTATGCTTCGAAATCTAAGAAAGACCGATATTGAGCAGCTGTGCTGTGAGTTGCGTATCGGAGAAAACGGAGACAAAACTTACCTTCCCTCGATATCGGGCTTGTTCGCCGCCTCCCGGGAAGAAACGGAGTGTGTATCACCGCTATCGTTCCACGTGCAAGTGATCCTGATCTGATCAGAATTTTGTCACTTCTGCTTGCTCAGGCATTCAACCCAGCTTGCTAGGATTGTTTGTCCGCAAGAGCAGCTGACGCAAATCGTGTACATTGGCTCGCCGACGTACCTCAACGAGCGACACCGCGCACAAGCATCCGACTCCTCATCAAGCTCACACCGACACTTCTGCCTGCGGCACGTATCACATGAGAGGATGCGCCTCTTTCTCTTGCGGCCCGAATCCTCTCTCCCCGCCTCATCCCGCCGGCTTTCGTCGCTCAGCCGGCGGCGGCGCACACCCGGCGAGTCCACCTCATTGCGCATCGTCCTCCCTTTCGATGTTCTCCGCGATCGCCAGCTCAGAGGCCGGATGATAGGGCAGCTGTGAGACAATGGTTCAACAATATACTTGGCTGTCTCGTGGAGGATAAAGGGGTTGGTTCGTGATGGTTTTCGGACAAAACAGGAGATAGGCGGAGATTTCTGTAAGCTTATCCATTGGTCGGGGAGACCCCCTACCTCGGGTAAGAGCGCGGGTGGGGAAGGAGATAACCGGAAATCGGCGGACCGTTGAAGAGGACGTACCGGGGCTTAAGCTTTCGAGTGCCTGTAGGGGACTATGGACAACCAGTGGCGAGAAAACGTGGTTCCAATAGACTCAAGCTTCTAGAAAATGATATAAATATCCACAGCGGACCGAGCTCACCGATATAGACGGGCTAGTTTCGTATCTGGAAAACGACGTATCACATCCGCAGCACCTTTCATCCAGCACCATTCCCATCCTCTTGAGAACGACGAGTCAAACACTGCTTGCGCTCCAAGATGACTACCGTGACAGCAACTGAGAGTGTGCCAGTTGACAAGAGGCAAATCTTCTTGAACAGTTACGACGGCCCGACCTACAGACTGGTATCCACAAACCCACCACGCGATTGCACGCCGGATGAGATCCCCATCATCGACCTGGAAGGGATGAACGGGGACCTCGATGCCCGTAAATCTGTCGCCAGCGATATCTTGCAGGCGGCGAAGACGAGCGGGTTCTTCTACATCAAGAATCATGGCATCCCTGAGCATGTGACGGAAGCCGCTCATCAGAAGGGTATAGAGTAAGTGCACCAATGACCGAGATCGGTCCTGTCTACCGGGACTGGGGCCGGCGTCCGGCGTCCGGCGAAACGGGGATCGTCAAGCTCACTTGATTGACAGATTCTTCAAACTGCCAGAGGAGCAAAAGCGAAAGCTGGAATCATCCACCTCGGCCTACGGGTACTGTGGCTTCCGGGAACGACAGGCCAATCCGGCCGAGACCAAGGACAGGAAAGAAGCCTTCATGTGCCACTATGAGCCCGAGTTCGACCCTCTCCACGAGGGCGTCCTCGACCAAGTGCCGGCGCACGTCAGGCAACATCTTCCCAAGGAAGACTTCAGTTGGGTCGACGAAGGGAGCTCCGCCGTCCTCCCAGGGTTCAAGTCCTCAGTTCTGGCCCACTGGCGTGCCTGTCTGGCCCTTTCGCGCCGTTTGATCCGTGTCATCGCCTTGGCGCTCGATCTCCCCGAGGACCACTTTGATCCCCTGACAACGTACCCCGGCGGCGATTTTGCGATAAACTTTTATCCAGGCCATGGCGAACAGCCCGTCCAAGATCCGGATGAGGTCGGGGTCGGCGCACATACTGATTTGCAGATCTTGACGCTTTTGTGGCAGGACGGGCACAGGGGCCTGCAAGTGCTCAACAGAGCGGGGGAATGGATGTGGGCGCCGCCAATCCGCGGCACGTTTGTCGTCAATATTGGGGACTTCTTCATGCGGATGACCAACGACAGGCTCAGCTCGACGGTCCACCGTGTCATCCAGCATGGCAGGGAAGATAGGATCTCGATGCCCTTCTTCTTTGGTATGAGCCGTCTCCTCAGCCTCTCAGCGACGAGGTCACGGGCCTCCTCGTGTTTGCTTTTGCTGACCAGCCTGTCTTATCGCGTACAGGATTCAATTTTGACCAAAAACTGGGCGTTCTGCCGACCTGCATCGACGAGAATAATCCGGCCAAGTACGAGCCTGTAACGTGCGGTGAGGTTAGTCCATGCATTTCGTCGAAACAACCAGCGAGCCGACAGTGATTTTCTGACGTGGTATCGACAGCTTATTGCGAAGCGCTTGGCCCTGGCGGAAACCAACGTTCAGCGAAACGGCGTGTAGATGTACCTCGCGGGGAATGACTTGCGCAAGAGCATGAACTCGAGGAATTCGAACCGGTGACGCCGTCGTATCCGATCGTCGTCATGAGTTACAAGCTACAGCAAAGGAACGTTTGCTTGGTCAGATGCATCTGCAAAGGAGGCAAAATACTCATCATGAAGTTCGGATCCATGTTCCTTGGGTCGACCCGCTCATCATCCGTGCAAGCTGTAAGTATTTACGGGAGAAGCCAGCTAAATCTCGAGGTTGTGGTTAGGTAGTACTAGCCGTCGGATGGCAATAGCCAAAAAACACCCCGATACTGACGCTCGGCCCTCCCTCCTTAAGAAGGAAGGATCTCCAATTTCAGGAGTTGCGATCGGTATTTCACAATTATACAGTGTGGATTGCAACTCTACTTGTGCAGACATGCCCCGCAAGTACAACACAATTTGGTGTGATGCTCCCCTCATGACAGGTTGCTGGCGCCACAAAAGGGGAGACTGGACCGGATACTGAAGCCGAGCCGCCCCTCGACCTGTCCCCGGTCCTGGCCCAGACCCCGGAAAAGATAGCCAGGTGTCAAAAAGGTCCATTGTCGACTGTGTGCTCCGCATCCGCAGGCTTACGTCTGCACGTGCTATGTCGGCATGTTGGAATTGGCGCAAGCGCCTGCACTGCTGCGGACATCGTAAAGCTGAACGTAGTAGGCAAGGTACGGACTGGGGCTGCGATGAGCCAAGAATACCGCGATGCAGATTGGATCGCCACAACAGGTGGTTGGAAGACCGAAATCGCTGCAGCCCAGCAGCTGTTGTCCAATGAGATTTTGGGTTCTCCATCAGGCAGTCCGGGCAATTGGTGCGTGTAACCTTATCTATGCGACATAGAGAGAGAGGGCCTGTTTACCGCGTGATGTTGAATGAAACCTGGTCTTCTGGTGATTCTGGAAGTTCCCACGACGCCAAGGACATTCCATGTCTTTCATGTTACACCTTGAGCGTTAGCTGAGAGTTTTTATCGTACGATGATAGGAGAACGAGACGTGAAGTCACAAAAGGCCGAGAGCGTCAAGTTTCACCGGCTTGTTCGAAGCGCTCATTAGAACGGCCGGGAGCGTGGAGGACCGGCAGTCGTCTTGTTGAATGAAAACAACGCCTGCAGATTCCTCGGCGTGCCATTTCGTTGACTGAGTCTAGTTCAAGGAACGCCCGATGACGCATGGCCAGTGGCGATCAGTGGAAAGGTTCATCTGGCCCTCGATCCAGGATGGATAGATGATCAAGAAACTGCTTGTTTTGCTTCTCCACCTCTTACCGCTGCCAGACAGATAAAAAGTGCGTATCCTTTGGCGTAGATACGTACCGTCTGTACTCCTCAAAGTACATAGTACCTACGCCCAGTGTGTTGGTCGCCTATGCCGCAGTATAGAGAACGGTTTTGACATGGTTGATGGCCATCTCAGTTGGAAAGAGGGCGTTCATTGGGTATCCGAGTAAGTCGTCTTGGGCAAGCTTTCTGCGATGAAGAAAGCTTCTTGACTTTGGGTTGAAACAGTCTGTGAGACTAGAGAAGTTGACATTCTTATGCTCCGTTGCGAAGATTCTCGTTTTTTCTGGAAAAGCACGGTACTTTAATGAAACCAAACGCAAGGAGCTGACAGCGGGTGTTGCCGTTGAGTCAGACTTTTCCCCACCGACTGTCCACTTCCTGGATCGATGGCGAACCCGAACCGAGAGAAACCAGGAGGAGCCAGCGAGTGGTGTCGAGTGACGACGGTGGTTGGCGTTGACGCATGCAACATGTCGGCCTGATAAGGGCCATAATGAGTGGTATGTAAGAAGGGAAGCAACGACAACCGACGCGGCTGGGCGGTTCAGGGTGACCGAGCCCGTCGGTCTCGAACTACCTAGGTACCTTGGGCTAGGCTGGGGATGCACCGCCTGTCCGGAAACTTAACAAGCACCAGTCAAAAGCCCTGGCGTTGCAGGGCGGAAAAAAGGAAAAAAGCTAGTTACCCGATCGAGCCATATCACTGAAGTGTCCATTCTCCAAGGGGGCGATTTCATCCAACAGCAGGCTCCGCGAGAACCGTCCCCCTCAGGCACAACTAGACCACCAAAAAAGAAAGCCCGGCCATGTCGTCTATCATTTCGTAATCGCGTGTCATCTGCCCCCAATACCTACACACCGGTAAGGACCAAAGCTGGGCGAGTGTTCTCCACTTGTACTGGTGATAGTGGCGTATCTACAAAGGAATGCAAACGCTAGGGCCCACTGAACGACCGACTCCAAACTCCCAGCGGGGACTCATCGGCTCCAATATCCGAAGCTGTAGGCATCCCAATGGAGGATAAGCCTCTGGATCGTCGGCTATTACATGCAAGGTTGGCAGAAGTTCTGCTCGACAGGCTCGTCGAAGTCACTGTTGAGGTCTCGTACGTTGATGCGGCTGATGCCAAAGCTTCGGGCGGATGCATCAGATGGACTTGTCCGTTCGAGCCAATCCACGGAACAACGCGGCTGATGGTGCTTACGAACAGCAGACGGGCTATCTGTCAGAAGTTTAGCTTGCTGCAAGGCGAGCGGGCCTAACCAGAGAGAGTGTTGGAAGCGCGCGTCCACGTTCGGTGAGAGGCCGACAAGGGGGGGGAGCACAGCTGGGATCTGGAACCAAATCTGAACTTAGATCCACACTTGTTTGAGGCATGGAGATCTGGCTTACGACAAGCGCCAGTCGCCAATGGCGCATCGGTCTGTCTCAACTGAACCCGCCGAAACAACAAACGGTACAGAGTAGCGGCTGACCCGGCCTTACAATCATCTCTACCGGTACCCCTTAGAAAAGTGAAGGTGGGCAAGGTCTAAGGTGAGGCAAGTTGACTTGCGGACTACTTATTGATTCCTATGGGCTGTGGTCGGATGCGATGCAAACAAAGCCTAAATACTGATTAGGTCAGGGCTTAGTAAGGCCTACGATGACTCGATGGAATGTGTGTGGGGGGGGGGGGGCGACTGTCAAGCCTGGGCACCTTAGGAGATTCGCCATAAGCAGCAGTCAATGAACGAGCCATGTGCAGCAACATGTCGCAGTGGGCGCTTAAACGCACGGCGAGATCTCGACTTTGGTCTTGACCTTGCGAGCTAGGCTGGTTTCCCGACATAAGGGGAAGGTGCGCGACGGTGAAGCATACCTAGAGTTGAGATGTGGGCGCTGGACGCCAACGGCCCGTGTACGACCGAGTTGTGAGACGCCTGGCAGGCCGGCTGATCATGTCGAGCCGCCTACTGGTAGATCACAGTCTGAGACAAGTATCAGTATGAATGATGTGAGAGGCGTCTCGTTCATTAACCACGCCAAGATAGTATCCACCCATTATTGACGCCGGGGCATGCTGACAGGGTTCCGCCATGCCAAGACGAAGTGTTTGTACTCTGTAGAGAGAGACATAGGAGAAGGAACGAGGCTCTTGATGGCTTGGGAAGAGCAAGTCAAGTCTCTATGAGGTACGTACATGCCGTCCCGTCCTTTCCTCTAGAGCAAAAACAAAAAAAAAAGGAACAAGAAACCTTTGGATTCGATGGGGATGTGCGCACGGGCCCTTCGGCGACATGTGCTCCCCAGCGCGTTAGGCGGGGAAAGTGTCACGAGCATAAGGTACTATGTAGGTATGGGAGAAATGGAGGGCGTACAGAGTGGGTACTATGTGTAGCTACCATGGTATTTGATCAGTTATTCTAGCGCTTCTGTCGCACGAATGTTCCTCGGACAGAAGCGTGGTAAGTCCCGATGTTGGCTGATGCTTGGCTTTGCCAGAATGTTAGGGAATTGAATTGAAGGCATGGTATCCGCACATTTCTGAGAAACTCACCTCTGCGCCTTGAGGGTTCCTTCTTATGTACATACGGTGCGCACTAGCCAAGGGACCCATTGTTTCTCCAGCCTCCCCGCTTATGGCCAGGCGGCGGCGGCGGCGGCGGCCACGCCTGTTTGCGACGCAACGGTCTACTTAATAGGGGCTCTACTCGTGCGTGCCGCTGGGGAAGGATGGTGATGAAGGCAGGCATTGGAGCAACTGAGATGCTACTGAACGTTTTCTTTTTATCCTTGAATCATATCCGAGCCGTGTGTATGTGTGCTTGTACATTTCATAGACATCAGCTCGTCCCTTTCTATACAGCACTTGAGTAAGGAACTTATATCTGCGATTGTGGAGAGGGAAGGGTGCAGGAGAGAGGGCACGCTCGGATGGAGACAAGGCCAAGAAACGGAAGCTGCCGGAAATGTTTACGAACAGTCTTGGGTCTCGGACATTTGCTCCTTGTTTGGGTTCCCACGCCATCAACACCCAACGTCACGACGAGGACGTTGTCCGAAGGCAGGGCTGTGAGACTAACGCTAAACCGCATCAAAGCAACTTGCGAAGACGACGTGCGGTGTATGTATGCAATAACTGAAGACGCGCCCAGCCCAAGAGGGATAAGGGAGATCGGGATCGGCTCTAATTCAGATGTGATGGTCGTTTTCGATGGAGCCCCTCGTTCTAAACTAAGTATTACACCAGTCAAATTGCCCCAAGACCCCCATGCTGTGATCCCCGCCTAACGACATCTCCATAGTACGAGTGGGGGACAGCGACCATCAAGTGCTGCCGGGCCGGTTAAAAATCTCGACCGGCCCGAAAATTCACTCCATAATCCAACCATCCAATCAGCCATGGGAGGGATGCTAGGTACTGGTTTATGTATGTGTTGGCACAGCCGTCAAGTGGGTCCCCGGTCTCAATGCTAGCGTACCGCAACCTGCCAAACCAACCTCCTACTTTCATCTTCCCGCCTGCTATTGCACAGGCAGTGTTCCCACAAGATATCCAGACAAGGGTAGACATGCTGAGGTGAGTACATTACAGAGGAACGCAGGCAAGGTGGAGTTTGCTGAAGACGAGACGAAATGGGATCCAGCCGCAGAAGCTCTTGCTTTTCGAGACAAGGGACTTTGAGGTACATTAGGTTCTTGCCTG